TTGTGTTACAGATGTTTTACAAATATTTCTGTGATACATGAACTCACAGATAGGCTGTTGTGTGTATTCTTGTTTGTAATGTCCCAGCATCTGATTGTGTCACATCCTGATGAAGGCTTTCTGGCCTCAATGTTTATTTGTCCTCCACGACTGCGATGATGTGAAACTGATCATTTCTACCTCTTGTCTAAACTGATATCTTTTCATGGTAAATAGGGTAACCCTGATTGGACTGTTGCTCAGAGCAAATTATTTCAAAATAATACAAACTTCATGCACAAAATATTTATAGCATGTGTGATTACTGTATACACACAATGGGATCCTCACTGGCAATAAGGAATTCATTAATTGTGCTGATTCTTAGTGATCTATAGAAGGAGAATATTGCACTTATGGAGGTAGTCATGAGCAATGCTGGTGAGATAATTTTACAAACACAAAACATCTATAATGTGTAACCAAAAGAGTAAATGTTCTTTCCTGATAAGTGCCCAAGCTTCAGGGAGCAATCTGTTTAAAGTAACAGTAAAAATGTCCCTTTTCCACACCTATAGGCGGACTGGGAATACACGGCTAGACCTAGATGTGTATAGACCAATCAGGACTTGGTGGGTGATATGGTCAACATTAAGCCGGCGCCTTTACTTCAAAGGACCGCACCTGGTACCCACTCAAGGTTGGGTCGACCTGAGAGTCAAGGTCATTTTTTTAAGGAGAAAAAAAGGTCAGGCTCCGTCAGGATGCTAACCCACAACGTTCCGATCCACAGGCGGGCACATAGCTGCCAACCCCAGGGTGATCTTATCTGTTTAAAGGGGTTCCATACAATCCTTGCAGCACGCCGTCCTATAGTACAGGATAATATGACCTGGTGTTAGTTGCCTGAAGGCCCATGCTCCAATGCCGTCCTCTAGTACAAGATAATATGACCTGGTGTTAGTTGCCTGAGGGCCCATGCTCCAATGCCGTCCTATAGTACAGGATAATATGACCTGGTGTTAGTTGCCTGAGGGCCCATGCTCCAATGGTGGACAAAGGGCAAAAGAAGATAGTGTATTCTAGAAATGATAATCTTACAGATACATTATTTAACTACATATTTTACCCACAAACAACATTTAATATCATTTACAAATAACTTTAAAGTACAACAACAATGTGAGCAGTAATTCAATCAACATAAAAACATTATATGGTTTGCTACAAACTCTACAACAGACAAGGTACTGGTACAGCATGCATTCATGTCAGATCATGTCACAACTGTAGTTACACCATTTTCATTCTAGAAAAAGAAATTATGTCAGGTTTCTCAAAAATTAGAGACATTGCAACTTATGGCTTAAACTCCATTCTCGTTGCTTTCAAAGAATGGTGCACCGGAAAACCTCACCATGTAATATTCCTAAAGAGAACAAACATCGGATGTACTGCAGCCAAACTCCACTGTGGAGTCAATACAAATTCAGTTTAATACAAATCTGCGGAGATGGTACAAATTCAGTTTAATACAAATCTCATTATTCATTAAATATGCTTCTAAATAAAGTCCCATAATTTCAGTGCATCTAGTTACTAAAGGTCGGCTCTGTGGCTAAGTCGATGCGAACACTTCGTAGTGCCGGGATGCCAGGTTCGATCCCAGCTGCGGGTCATGCGTTGGTTTCGACAGTGGTATCAAGAAAGCCGACCGCCCATAAAGCAATGGCAAACTACTGGACGTAAATTGCCTAGAAAAACCACACAACAGCTGGGGGCTGTTGAGATTGGTTCTGCAACGTCCTGTAAAGGATACACAACTAACTTCTAGTTATTAAATTCTCACCCTTGTTTACTCAATTAATAAAACAACTAGTAACCATTACATCTGGTTGTTTAAGCAACAAATTCTGTTTCCTCAGTCAAGGGCAATCTTCTGCTCTTCCCCAATTATGGTTCATGTCTTCCATCTTTAGCTCCAAGATGCCCCACAAGAGCTTCGTAACAATCAAAGTCACAGAAAACTTGCATTCAATTTAGCCCCCACCTGTGCATTTCTCTGCAGTCCACTGCATGAAAGGTCGGATGATTTGTGTGTGTGTGTTTTATCCTTAAAAGCAATGCATCAATTGTGTGTTTACCGGGCATCTTTGGAAAAGTTATCAAAGCTACCAAGAATCAGTTAATCAGATACTGCAGTACCAATTTCACGGCAAACAGGTCATCCCGAGCCACTAAAAACCACACAGAATGTCCATCACTGTCCCTTGAATTACAACAGACAGTGAAGTTCATATCAGAGACAGAATTGCAGACATAGATAACCTATTTCAAGAGAACGAAAGAAGAAGGAGAACTGCTCCTTCTAAGAAAACTGTCAACTGACTGTAGTCCTGGCAAAGTCAATACCATGCACATGCAATGATGCATAAGAATGCTGCAATAACAACAGAGGAGCTGGGCTTTCTTTTTACTGCATTCTGCAAAAGCCAGTAAAGTTAAGGACCCTTTTTAAATGCCTTCAGGTATGTTGAGCACATAGAGCTGACCTTAGATTTTATAGACAAACTGGCCCTGGTTGGGTGATGTGGTCAGTTGCCTTCACTTCCCTGGACTTTACCTGGTACCCAGGAAAGGCTGGGTTGACATGAGAGGCAAAGTTATTTGAAGAAAAAAAAAAGTGCAGTTCAATTTGGACTCAAACCCACAACCTTCGGATCTGCAGGTGGCTCCCTGCAAAAGCCAAACAACTGTGAAAAAGTCTGGAAGAGAAACTAAATAAGACAAGAAGAATATGGACTGATCTGCACAAGATGATCAAGAAAGAGAAGTCGGAGAAATAACTTATGACCAGTAAAGGTGTTGGTTCAGAAAGTCTGAAGCATTTTTGTAGCCAAAAGAAAAAGGAATAAACAGTCTATACATGCACATTGGCTCATAAACTGTATTATGAAGGTGGACATATGATTATGGAGACATCTTGGGCATGAAAAAATGGGAGGTAGGGACAAATTGGGGTGAGAGGCTTTATCCTGGGAGGGAGCAAAAATAATAAAAAATAAATAAAGAGTTAATTGCGTGTAGAACCAACCCCAGCATTTTTTGGCTGTTTGTGATGTCACTAGGCAACTTTACATTCAGTAGTTTGCCACTGCTACCTAAAGGTTTGGCTCTTGATACCACTGTTGAAACCAAATCAAGCCAGTATGCCACCAAACTGCCCAAAGCTGTGATCGAACCTGGCACCTTGAAGTTACAGAGCGCATTCACAACCCATAAGTAACAGATAAGAGAAGCAACATTCTACAAAAGGTCTGCTACATGATGATGATGATTTGATATTTATCAGATGACTAGATAGCTACAGATAAACAAATCATTATAAATTATTTTAAATAAATTAATTATCAGCAGTGTTAATGTTAAAAAAAAATATAAGCTGTCACTACTTTCTGTAGTTTGTTTTCTTTGGCCAGTGAGTTCATTCTGTGAAATAGTGTCTGTGACACTATTTGTCATGATATTAAAAACACAAAACTGTGACACACCATGCCTGGACTAGTCAATTTATTAATATATACAATATTTTGGTCATATCAAGCGCCACAACGGATTTGAAAAAATAACAGCACATGGCATGGTACTAGGAAGGAGGGGCAGGGGCCGACCGACATGAAGATGAGCACAGGATATAAGTGACACCTTGATATAAGTGACACCTTGAGTATGAAAGTACATGAGGCTCTCCCGCTGGCAAGAGACCGAGTTTCTTTCAGGCAGACTGTGGTGAGAGTGAGGTTCTGCAAAGGACCTGCTACATCATGTTGATGATGATGACTATATTTTGATTGCTCACTCCCATAAAATTACAGCCACACTATGCTCTGATTGGTCAATGTATTCACCATTTCAATCTATTAAATACTATGCTGTGATTGGTTAACATTACCACTCATACTATGTATTGATTGGCCCTCACTGTGAACCTACATAACTTTGCGACAAACTATGTTTTCTCCGCTCAATACATATCATCCCACAAGCTGTTATATATGTTTTGTATTGTCAATCATATAAAGTCACCCGAAGGTGGCTCCACCTCGAGGTAGTGGGGGAGCTTGTGTTTCTCAGTGGCACGAGAGCTATGGCGGCGGCAGCGTAGCCAACAGCAGGGCCTCTCAAGCCTAAAAAGGTCATAGGGTACAGAATACAAATAGAGACATCCTGGTCCTTCAGTTTGGGGGTTGAAGCGTGGGGCCGACACCCCAACTTTTGTAAAACTCGATTTCACCATGAACAGATAACTTAGTCTTGATTGTGGATGGATTTAAAGGGACAACAAAACTGCAACGTTTAAGGATCCAGACAGAACTACAAACACTTGGTGTCACCAACTGGAAAAAGAAGATGAATCAGAGAGAGGAATGCAGGTGGGTGATATCTGCACTAATAAACATCAAAGGCTCAGAATGCTGAATAAGAAGAATCACATAAACTGCCTTTTTTCGATGTTTAAATGGAAACGTATTTACACACCTAACATTATACATAAGAAATCTGTGTGGTTCTTGAGAAAAGAGCATTTCCAGTTAATCCAAGTTTCTGATTATAATTTATTTCTGCACTTAATCTATGGAGATTTCATTACCAACTACATAAGAAATCTGAATACATTTAAATCAACCATGATGATAAAATGAACAAAAAACAAAACCAAAAAAAGTAATTAATGCTTTAAAAAAAACTTAAGTAATGCTTAAATACAATTAAAGGCAGTAATGCTTAAATAAAGTTACAGATCAAAATTAATAAATACTGAAATTAAAAGTGATATTGCTCTGAATGCTGTATAGTTTTCATAATTCTGGAAAATGTTTCAGTTAAAATTTATATTTCAAACAAAGTTTTATTTTTATTACGTTGATGTATCAACATTCACTTTCTTACAGTTTGTAACAAAACAAGAAAGTAACAATCAGGAGAACAGAAAAAAAAAATTTAAAAATTTCAACTAAATATTATGTAGGTATGTCATCGGGAAGGTCAGCCATGTTTCTGGAATCGCTCATCATGTAGTCCGATTTTCGTCTGTAGTAGCAGAAAGCAAAAGCAGCGCTAACTGCAAACAGTACAGCCAAAGCCAGGCTGAAAACCTGAAATCAAACAAAGATGGTTTCATGTTAAATGGAATTTCACTAAAACTGTTTTCCTACTCCTTTCAGTAAATCTAGAACAGAGGCTCTCAACCTTCCTAATCCCCCGATCCTTATTACAGTTCCCTCATGTTGTGGCGACCGCCAAACAATTATTTTCCTTCGTAACTTCGATGAATATGTGTTTTCCGATGGTCTTAGGCGACCCCTGTGAACTGGTCATTCGACCCAAAGAAAGGATCACGACTGGCAGGTTGAAAACCGCTGTTCTAGAACATGAATAATAAAGTTAAGCTGAGTTAGGGGATGACATCAGAACACTGTACCCCCTCCCCCATTCCGGGGCCCCACTGTGGGGGTGGGGGGGGCAAGAATAGACCCACTGCCTCCAAAACAAGTATGTCGTAAGAGTCGACTAACTGGGGGCTTCCTTTGAAGCTGAAGAAGTGCATCTGCCCGAGCGGCAAGGAACAACCAAGTGCACATAAATGAGCAAAAAGTGAAGAGCTTACAGCCAGTGAACAAAGAAGAAGAAGAAGAATATTGGACATTTCAATATGCGTTCCATCTTCATTTTCAGCAGCCAGCAAAAAGTTCAATGCTAATAGTAGCAATAATGAGGACCCAAAAAATACAGTCCATAATGAATTGTCTGGCATATTTAACTACAGCTCATCAGTTTCTTTACTGCAGAACTTATATCAATATAATAAAGCATAAAACATGAATCCTTTCAAATGAAATACATAAATCACAGTCTGTTGTTACAGGGTACATCTCACTAATGGATGACTCAACTGAACCACATGATCTTTTTTGTTTTCACATTAAAAGCAGAACAAAGACTACAGACCACAGAGTGATAGCATAATAAACAAAAATTGTTAGGCTTTATCCCCGTATGGGTTCCGGTGCCCAATTGTGGGGAAAACAAGCGTAGACCAACTGCCAGCTCAAAAGCATGTCGTCGGAAGTCGACTAATTGGGAGCTTCCTTCAAAGCTCTCCTGCCGAGAGCGCTGCGCAAAGCATGAACTCCATAGCTCCGGCGATGATCCACAGGGATTTTCATAAAAACTGCACTCGTACCCTGAAGGGTGCAGCCGTAAAACGAATCCACGACTTCCCGAGCAAACGGCTGGACCACTTCGCCACGGAGAACCCTTCTACACAGGGAGAATAGCCATACTTACCAGTGTGGCTTGAAAAGCTGCAAATCCCAGACCAGCTTCTCTCACAGCCAGGGATTTCCCCAGGCTTGACAATGAATGGGCCAGGATCACTGCGGCTATGAACAACAACAAACTCAAAGAGCTGCTGATAACAAGATCCTGAAAGCAAACAAATCAATTTTCTAGAAATGTCAGCATTTTTTTAAAAACGTATAAGTTCCCTAAAATAAAAATAAAAATTTTATTAACATTTTTTTTTCATTTCACTATTCACAATACTGGTAAATTAGCAGGATCTGAATATTATTTAAATTATTGAATTTCAGTCGGATGATAATCAGGAAATAGGGTTAAGTTTCTCAAGGAAACACATTTTTTTTCTGTTGTAAAGTTCTCATTCTTTTGGACAGTGAAAACGTAATCGGGTTGAGTCAAGAACTGACATCACAGCAGAAATTTCCAAACGTTCCGTCTTCAGCCAGTGCTGGGTTGCAATTCCAAATGTCCCTGTGTGGGTTCTGGGACCCCTTGTGGAGAAAACGAGAACAGACCCACGACCTCCCCAAAAAGCATATTGTAGGAGTTGACTAACTGAGAGCTTTCTTCTCAGTTGGAGTCATCTGCCCAAGTGGCAAGGAACAAATAAACTGCACACAAATAAGCCAGTAAAATGGACGTACGTACAAAATTCAGGCCCTGGCAGCCAGAGTTTAAATAGACGAACAAATAGGACATTCCTCCGGAGCTTACAGCCGGTGAACAACGAAGAAGAAGAATTTCATTTGGACCAGTAGCAGTGTGATTGTCTGTCCATCTTGCCTTTCCTCCGAGTGTTGATCGCCACCCAGATCCCCTAGTTGCTTCCCAATGCACCAATCTATTCAGAGCATTGTGATTTCTGTGTGCTTCTATACAGTTCACTTGCTCCCAAAGGGCCTTGAACACATCTAACTTATTATGTAACAATATACTACAAAGTGATGTTTACCCTTTTGTTCCAGAGAATCTTCTGAAGCATCATAACAGATCACTATTATTTGGTAAAGAAAAATGACTCCCAAAAAAATAAGTATCTTCACGCAAAACAAAGTTTATATAACACTTAATTTGCCTGTAATTTTGCAGCTATGTTCCTAAATTCAAGAAGAATAGCACTAGAACTAACTGACACAGAAGAAAATCATCTTCTCACTAATGTTTATTCTATTTGTGCCAGCTGACTGTGCTATCGTTGTACGCTTCAGGTGAGGTACACATTTGACATATCCCTCATCAAAGTTTGACTCTATAAATGACTGAAACACATCTAATTCGCAACGTTATCTATCTAACTTGGGATAAATCTTTAAAAAAAAAAAATGTACTTTATTTAAATTTTAGGCTTCTAAGGCCATAAATCATGTTGGCATGAACGTAGAATAGTGCTTGGCGGCCATATTCTTTTCAAACAAACACTCAGTAACTAGCGAATCTCGCAAATATACTGTATTTTTGGCTTTCAACCCACGTTTCTAAATGAGCACGCCTGATATCAGACACAAAGAACTCAGAAGGAAGTTGAAATTGAGCGGTCCGCGATATAAAACAGGTCAGTGGTAGATTAAAAACCTTCACTTGTCATGTGTCGACTGGGCCGCTAGGTTGAAACAAATTAGCACGTGATGTGTTTCCTGGGACTCAAAGAGTTAAAATTAATAATTAAATTTATAAAAAAAAATATGCCTCAATGTGAATTCAAACCGAAGACATTTAGGCCAAAACTGGGTTGCTTTTTTCCCTAAGGAATTCTAAGGATTCTTCTGTAAAATCACATCCTCAAAGCCTTAAAAAACTTTTTGGCTTGTTCATTAACTATCCAGGTTTCAAAGCCCAAACGGCTGTACCGAATAGTGATTTTCCCTATTCGGTCGAATACGAATAAAGGGACCAACTATTCGGCCTAATACGAATAGTGTATAGTGTATAAAATATAACTTAAAACAAACACACACACATTCATAATGTCAAATGTAAGTTGAACTTTTGCTTCACATAAAGTAGCACAGAATAGTCATCTTCTTCTTTAGCATTCTGAGGTTTACTGCTGCAGATATCACTCGTCTCCATTCATCTTTCTGGCTGGCCTTCTCTTCACAATTTGTGACACCAGTTGTTTGCAGGTTTGGCTGGACATCATCTCTCGAACTTCTTTTTTTTTGTGTGTCTGCCTCGTGGTATACGACCATTCCCTTGTGTATCCAGTTTTTACTTCTCTGTCATCCTTTCAATATGCCCCAACCACTTTAGTCTGTTAGCTCTTATGATGCCAGTGGTGATTTAAATAGATTATGTGTTACATTGTTGCTTCTCACTCTCCAGTCCCCGCTGTTAGCATCTTTGATGGGTCCAAAAATTTGTCATAAGACTGTTTTCAAAAACCTGTTATAAGGCCTCATCTCTTTTATTTCTGCTTCAAGTTTCACAGCCATATAAAACAACTGGTCTTATCAACGTTTTATATATTGTGATCTTGGTGTTGCGAGACAGACACTTTGACTTTAGCAGATGTTGAAGGGCATAGTATACCTTTTTTCTAGATTGTATTTCCTCTCTCAGCCCGTTGGAGCAGCTGAAGTTTGCACCCAAGTACTTATATGATTCCGTTCGTTTGATTTTCATATTATCGACTTGGATGTGGCCGGAGTTTATATTCTTTCCATGTCTAGTTAGTATTCGTACAGAATAGTAAACACTTAAAAACATTTTATGTTTTGCATCCTCCAGTCAGTCTCTGGTAACTAATAACTAGGAATAAAAGAATCCTAAGTATTATAACAAGTAACTAAACTTGGAAATTGTCACTGACAGTTTAGTTAAGGCATGAAAGCTGCATTAGCTTTCAACAAAACCAATAGTTCCATTTTGTTAGTATTAAGGCCGTGTATGCAGAAGATGGTGTAAGGTAACTACTATTTGTATTCGGCCCGACCGCAACTATTCGGCCGAATACCGAATAGTCAATAGATCTACTATTCTGCCCCGAAGTGAATATTCGGTACAGCCCTAGTAGTAACAGCTGGATACTCTCTATCCTAAAATGTTTCAACAGGTATTCATTTGGCAAAGTAAAGGTGGCCAGAAAACTTGTGTGATTTTCAGTTACAGAATTATGGGCCTGACACTCATCATTATGAGCTTTTAGAGAGTGAAGGTATTCAACTCTCCTCACATGTTCGTCCATGGTGTCCTGAATCAGTTCTGTTGATACTAAACCTTAATACCACTTTTTAAAAAAAGTAAAGCGCCCACCTTTTTCCACGTGTATTGGGTATATAGGGTTAGACCTATATTTTATAGACCAAACTACACTTGTTGGGTGATGTGGTCAGCATCATGCTGGCCACCTTTACTTCCCATGACTGTACCTGGTATGCACTCAAGGCTGGGTCGACCTGGAGGCCAAGATCATTTTTGAAAAAAATCTGGCCCTCATCAGGAACAGAACCCACAACCTTTCTATCCGCAGCCGAGGGTCTAACCGCTAGACTATAGCGGCTCTTCTACTACCCCTTTGGACTATCCAATAATCATTTCTTTTGGTCTGCCCCTTTTACCGCTAATCTTTCCTATTATCATATGTTCTCCAATGCCTCTCTTCTCATCACATAGAAAGAAAGAACAAGTTTTTTTTTTTCACTTGCATATATTTCCATTTACAATATTTGTGTAGATTATTTTTATTTTAATAGCCACACTGAGTTAAAAACTGACATTACAGCACTCAACATTCCATAAACACTCCATCCACATCTTCAGCAGCCAATGAAGAGTTTCAAATCTAATTGTAAAAGCAGCAGTCTGATTGTATGTCTCTCCTCCTCCCCCCTTCCTCTTCCCGAGTACTGAATGTAGCCAAATTCCCTGGTCCTTTTACAAGCATATAATGTTCTACTTACATTAATTTTTTTTCCCAGCTAATCAATGTTTGTTCCCCGGTTTATACAGAATGGGCTCTACATTATCCATATTTTACTTTTGCATCCTAATTTCAATCACAAGTGAAAATAATTAAAGCTAACAAAAATTTAAAAAATTAAAAAATAATGTGTCAAAATATTACATTATCCGACTGTTTACAATTATACTGACCAAACATGGAGGAAAAAGCCTTGGACTGCGAACGACAGAGTATGTTATGACACACAGAAGAAACAGCAGGGAGACCATTGCAATCATCAAGAAGAAAACAATATTGCCCGCCTCATCGTAATCTCCCTTGTTAAGATCAACATAGCGAATCCCCTTGCTCTCCCATCCAAATGACAGTGAAACAATCAGAACAGCTAGCAACTGAAACAAAGAACAATAATTTAACATTCACTTAGTGCAAATGTATGAGAATGGAGAAGGAAAAACAGTGTAAAATATACATGTCAAGGTTTCTTTTTTTTTTCCCATCCCCATTACATAAAGCAGTGGGCTCCAAACATTCTGGTCAAGAACAGGAAAGCAGTGGAATTCAGCCATTTTAGCCAGTAAAGCAGTGGTCTTCAAACACTTTAGTCAAGCCCAGTAGAGCAGTGGGCTTCAGACATTTTAGTCAACCCCAGGAAAGCAGTGGGCTTCAGCCATTTTAGTCAAGCCCAGTAAAGCAGTGGTCTTCAAACACTTTAGTCAAGCCCAGTAGAGCAGTGGGCTTCAGACATTTTAGTCAACCCCAGGAAAGCAGTGGGCTTCAGACATTTTAGTCAACCCCAGGAAAGCAGTGGTCTTCAACCACTTTAGTCAACCCCAGTAAAGCAGTGGGCTTCAGCCATTTTAGTCAAGTACAGTAAAGCAGTGGGCTTCAGCCATTTTAGTCAAGCCCAGTAAAGCAGTGGGCTTCAGCCATTTTAGTCAACCCCAGTAAAGCAGTGGGCTTCAGCCATTTTAGTCAAGTACAGTTAAGCAGTGGGCTTCAGACATTTTAGTCAACCCCAGGAAAGCAGTGGGCTTCAGCCATTTTAGTCAAGCCCAGAAAAGCAGCGGGCTTCAGACATTTTAGTCAAGTCCAGTAAAGCAGTGGACCAGCCATTTTAGTCAAGCTGAGGAAAGCAGTGGGCTTCAGCCATTTTAGTCAAGTAAAACAGTGGGCTTCAGCCATTTTAGTCAAGTAAAACAGTGGGCTTCAGCCATTTTAGTCAAGTCCAGTCCAGTAAAGCAGTGGGCTTCAGACATTTTAGTCAAACTCTCTCAACATTATTACATCTTGAAATGCCATGTATGTCTTTCCTGTGTACCACTTACCTCTGTCTTCAGTTCTGTTTTTATACGGTTAGGGAATTTCAGCTAGTGTCATAGAGGAAGTCAGTTTACAGCAGAATGGAGTCCTAACCAAATAAAGCCAGTTGTAACATGGTTTTCTCTGAATAACTGTATTGTCAACACTTTGTCCACTGTAAGTATGTGTTAGGTGGTGGTGGAAAGACGTCATATAACAAAATACACGGAACAGTGATTTGATTGGAATCTTTTTTTATTCAGCACAAAGTCCCCGTGTGGGTTCCTGGGCTCCATTGATGGGGAAAAGGTGGGGGCATGGGTTGAAGGAATACACCAACTGCCCCAACAAGCAAATCATAAGAGTCGACTAATAGGGATGTGTTTTTTTTCAAAGTCAGGGTGCATCTGCCTGAGAGGCAAGGAACCAAAAGTCTGCATACGAATAAGCTAGACTTGTAAAATGGAAGTGCATGAGTAGCAAGAACTTTCTGCCAGAGTGTACAGCCAATGAACATGAAGACAAAGGACAGCACACAGACCATGTCAAAATGGAAGCCAGGAAGGACATGGCTTGATGGTGGCAAACTGTGAGCAGTTTTGTAGCAAGGCCTTTTTCTGAGATTCACGTGTGCTGTGGATATACTGATGGATTAAATGGAAGATATATTGAGCAGGGAATCTAAGCACTTATGGACTGAATGTTCGAAGTGCCCTGAAAATGATATATGGACTCGTCTTTACCCCCTTAGGACTGCAGGTCAAACCTGGTCATGGGTGCTCTACCTACAACTTCTTTGGGGGTTAAATGGGGTTTATGAGATCTTCCATGTTGATCTGCAGTCCAGATTGAGATTTTTAAATGGAAGAAATGGTAAGGGAACGATTTCATGGAGTAATGAAATGGCCAGTGTAAAGCTGTCCTTTACTATGGTAATTATATGGTGCTAACATCTTATTCTGTCTTTAGTTTCTTAATGTGCCATAGGAAACCAAACAGTACTTTTCTTTTACTTTATCCCATCTCAGGGATGGGACTCTGACGAGAGTTCCTGACGGAGGTTCCAGGAAAGTAAAATATTATAAAAGGAGGGGGTGGGGGAGGGGGGGGGGTGTTAGGGTTAGTCTGTGTTCATCATAATTATTGGCTCTACTTCGAACGGCACCATAAAATGGCGGCCATAATATGATGCCGTTCGAAAGAGAGCTAAATTGGCCACATTCTGGCCATAAAATATCCAAAAATATCCAAATGGGGCTCAGTTCTATTAAAAATATATATGCCGGCTACGTACAACGAAACAAATGCTCTAACAGGGTCTCAGCCATATGTTACTTACGGACCTGCTTCTGCGAGTGTGCCTCACCGCCGACCGTATCCCCCGCGCTGCTATGCGCGGCGCGGATAGGGACTAACTAGATGGCTAGAACCTCACGAGCGGCAGCTACCACATCTCCTGCAACTTCTTCCAATTACTTTACTTGTGAGTCCCAGGCACCTAGTTTAGCTCCCCATCTGCGCCACGCGTAGCGGCACAGGGGATACGCTCAGCGATGAGTTTAATAGCGTTTTGCGCATGCCGACAAGTCTGACATCTACCGCTGCTAAATCCTCCAATCAGAAGAACACAGTATTGCTAATCGCTTTCATCGTCTGTAATGTCTCGAAATTGGTCAGCGGTTGCTAATATCGTCTGCTACTACCGTGTGCAATGTTGATATTGATTGTCAAGTAATCCTAGTTGTGCCGCGATTTGTTCCTTGGCAGAAAGATACGCCTGAACACCGTTCTGATATTTTTGGATATTTTATGGCCAGAATGTGGCATCATATTATGGCCGCCATTTTATGGTGCCGTTCAAAGTAGAGCCTAATTATTTTACACCCTTAAACCACTTTACTATCAGACTTTCTTGGGAACTACCAACGAAATCTCGGATTGCCCGATATGGTGTGAGTTAAAAGAATAGAACCAACCAAACTAACTTATATGAAGACCTTTGTACTTTGTGTTTGTATGCTTGTTCATTACCGGGTGGTTGGATTTTGCAGTTTTGTAGAGTGACACTGTTGTCACTGTCAAGTCGCTGTGCCTCAAAGTACCAGTCCTCCATTAGTCGCCTCTTGCGACATGCATATAAAAATTTGTTATAGTACTACAATTCATTTATATGCTCGGTAAGACATAGGCGTATTAGTATCTTATTTAGTCTACAATCTTACCAACTCCACCACCCGGACTGTGTTTTCTGCCTTGAAGAATCGCTGGATCCTGGCACCAATAGCCATATTTAAACAAATAAATCAGCTATCTTCCATATGTCAGTTTCGTAAACAAATTATAGTCATGTAGAAATAACTAAGAGAAAACTGTAATTAATATAATTATTTAATTTCGTTAAGCATAAGCTTGTTCTTCTAATTTATTCTAGTACCTTATGATTAAAAATAAAAACAAAGCTTCTGAACGTGTTTTTTTAATACGAGTGTGCGGTTCATAAATGGATATTTTCGTTGCTAACATTCCTACAAGTTCGCGTCTTGGGAAACCAAATCTGTTTCAGCTAGAAGTATTAAAACTATACTTTATATATTCTTTATCATTCCAAAACATTTCTTGATGAATTAGAATAGTCACAGTAACGAGTTGATTTCAGGAATGCAGTTAAAACATATGAAAACTCTGCTTCCTCCATTGGTAATATTATTTCTTTGTGTTAATTACCTCAGTTGTAGTTGTACGTAGATACTTAGATAGGATAACCACGTAATTCTTAATTTATTTTTTATTATATTATGTTAATTTTTGATTATAACAGCTCCCATGGAAAAGGCAAGGTGATCATACAACCAGTCTGCTACTGGTACAATCAGAACTGGAACTCTTATGTTTGGAAGTACTCTAATGTCGGTTCGGTTCTGAGCTGATTTCAACTCATGTCTGTACTGGGACCCATGGCTTCTCTCAGTCTCAACAGCTTTTGTCATAGAGTTACGCTTGGACATCTTCAGTTAATTAATTTCCTACTTCAGTGCCTGTTTTGTTGCGGTGCCTAGCAAGTGGCCCACTGATCATTGCCCGTTGTGTTGACCCACTGCCTCCTCAACAAGCATGTCGTAGGTGTCGACTCGACTAATTAGGACCTTCCTTTGAAGTCGGAGTGCATCTGCCCAAGTGGCAAAGAACAACCAACTGCACACAAATAAGCCAATAAAACAGATCTACATGAAACACTCAGGCTCTGCGCAAAGCCAAAGCCTAAATGGATGAACAACCAGGACTTTCTGCCAGAGCTTACAGCTGGTGAATGAAGAAGAAGAAGAAGTATTGTATCAGTGATCTTTCTGTGCTGGAGCTTGGGCCTCTGGCCTGCAATCATCCCCACATTCAACATTTTGGTCCCAGAGTAAACTTAGTCGAATAGCCCTGAAGTGTACATTTGCTGTAACACTCTACCATTTTCCCCCAGGAAGTCACAAAACTAAAACATCCAGTTGGTACCACTTCTCCCACTTTTCCAGCTCACCAGAGACATGTTAATGAGGCGTCTAGCTAATATAATTCATTACGTCTGCTCAAACATTCAGCATGACCGGGAAAGACTTCATTAGAAATTGCTACATCATATTTTTCCCATTGGCTACAGTGGTTACTGTGTAACAAGGTCAAGTACATATCATGCTATAATTAGTTTTTGTATCCCAAGAAATGTGAGTTTATTTGATTCTGGATTATTGCCCTTACTCTCTATAATATGTGCAGGTTCTTTTAGGAGTGTGTTTGTGTAGAGGGGGTGTAATATTTTGATTTTTAGGGATTAATTTTGCGACATATGTAAACTGGTTATTTTTCTAAGGATTTATTTTCCTGGAATATCAGAAAAATGGAAAATACTGGAGCTTGGCTTTGTTCTTTCTAGGTCAACGGAGTGAAAGGGTTAAACTGTGCTGAGCCCTTGCAATTTATAATATCTGGTCAAAATGTCCATTTGGTTGCAACATTCTTGATTATTATTTCATTTTTCATATAATTTAAGGATGGAGCAGCAAAAATTTGTGCCATTGCCCATTCGCCAAACAACCAGAAAATAGCTGTCTGCACATCAGACAGGGTGGTCATTTTGTTCGACGAGCAAGGAGAGAAGAGGGACAAGTTTTCACTCAAGCCAGCAGATGCTAAGGTTGGTCATACTTGATTGTGTAAAACGGTTTTGTTGGTTTATTTTATGCTAGAAAGTAAGCAGATAATGTATATGCCATACAAGATAATTTTAGGACAAAGAAAATAACTTGTTTAACCTTTTCAATCTTAGACACCAATAATCTGGCACCACCATCCTTTTCAAATCCCAATGAAGACATTGAGGAGTATTGTCTGGATTTTTTCATCGCGATACGTCCGTGTGTTGGGAAATGAAGAGTCAGACGGACTGACTGGCTCTGCAGCATAATAATGTCTTTATTTTGTATATTACAGTATGGAAAGAAGAGCTACACAGTAAAGGGTCTGGCATTTTCCAGTGACTCAACCAAAATAGCTGTTGGACAGACGGACAACATCATCTATGTCTACAAGATTGGAGATGACTGGTATATTTTTTTACATTACTGTGTTAAGTTGATATAAAAGATGTTTTGTTTCAGATGTGTGCAGGTTGTCATTCCAATATGCACCACAGCCATCATAGAGACCTGTGGCCTTCTCATCTACAGTCCACTGGCAGGAAGAGGGAGATGAAGAAGAAGATACTGCTACCTATGTTAAGCTAGTACCAAAAAGTGCAGTTGCCACAGACTGTGTAGGTAAAGAATTTATTTGTGCCCCCGATCAGAAAAAAATATGTCACCTTACTGAGTATTCAAACCTGGGTCTTGCAGATGAGAGCTGAACATTCTAACATTTCAGCCAGCCACACCCTTAGGAGTGCTTATAAACTTAATTATCACAATTTATAAGGAATGACTTATTTGGTATTGTGATATTTCAGAGGTTATTTATGATGGTTTGGAAACAATAACAGAGGTTATGGTTCATGAAGGAGAGGTAGGAGTTGACCAGTATGATGGTGGTTACAGGATATCAAAGACAACTCTGGGTGTGAAAGTTTGTGAGGCAGAAAAAGTTAGGCATGAAACAAGTAGTATTACAGTGTGCCGTGATGAGATCAGTGTCTGAATAGTACTTGCTGTGTAATGATGATATTTCAGTTGACCTCACTGTGTATTCCTGTTATTTTACACTGCGCTGAGTTGACTCAAGAACTGACATCACAACACTTGGGCATTCCCTTAAGCGCTCCGTCCCCATCTTCAGCAGCCAGCACAAAGTTCCAATACCAATGGTGCCAGTAGCACTCTGATTGTACCTCCGTATTGCCATTCCTCTGAGCGTCGAGTATCGGCCAGAACCCCTCGTCACTCTCCGCTTCATCACTCTCACCAGACTGTGGTGATCCATTTGCTTCTTTGAATTGTACATGCTCTCCCACAAGGCCCTAACTTCATCTTCCTTATATACATCAGTATTCCACCAGGTTGTGCAGAGCCAGCCAATCTGTCCTGTTCATTTCCCAACACACCTGAAGGACACGGAAAAAAGATCCAGACAATGCTGCTCATCCATGACCTCCACAGCAAAGCATGGCACTCTGCATGCCTGTCCTTTCCTTCCTCAGCACTGAGGCACTGCACTTAATTACAACCTTTGCAGGACATCCCAATCAACCCCAGCATTTGTTGTTTTTTGTGTGCTTTTGCTACACCCATTTACTTTAAGTAATTTGCCATTGCTTTTTGAATGGTCTAACGACCGTACCATTATTGAAATCAGTGTACATCAATCTGCTGCCAAATTGCTTGTATCTGAATCAACTGGAGACTGTCAGAATTTTGAAACTATATTCATAATTCCTAAGTCAGAGAACTTAGTTACATAAACAGCATATTTCTGTTATTTTCTGAGTTTTTCTGTGTAAGAGCATAAAATACTATATGATGTTAAATTATACTTTTGACACTGACCTTGGTTATTCTGATTATTTTATTCACTTATTTTGCACTTTTCTTCTCTCTCTCTCTCTCTCTCTCTCTCTCTCTCTCTCTCTCTCTCTCTCTCTCTCTCTCTCTCTCTCTCTCTCTCTCTCTCTCTCTCTCTCTCTTTTTCTCTCTCTCTCTCTCTTGCTCTATGTGAGATGCAGAAGCTTGTAACTGGGAAGATTTATTATATCTAGGTTATACAATTAAATGTATGGCAGCTACAACTTTAGTTACATAATATCAAAAGCCAAAATGTGAACCAGGTGTACAGTTAGGACAAATATACTGTAAAGTGTAGTCTTTCAAAAATTTTTTTTTTTTTTTTTTTACAGGGGAGAGAAGAAAGTTATCTGCAACAAATTTGTACAGAACAGTGCTGTGACTTGTCTTATCTGGCCACCAGACCAGGCAATTATCTACGGTCTTGCTGATGGAAAGGTGTACATTTTAACCCATATTGTTTATTATTTGTCATTATCCTCATCATTTCATCTTCTTCTTCTTCTTCTTCTTCCTCTTCTTCTTTGTTTATCAGCTGTAAGCCCTGTCGGAAAGTACTGGCTGTTCGTCCATTTTGACTTTGTGTCAGGGCCAGAGTTTTGCATGTACATCCAGTTTGCTGACTTATTTGGGTGCAGTTGGTTGTTCCTTGCCTTTCGAGCAGATGCATTCCGACTTTGAAGAAAGTCCTCAGTTAGTCGACTTCTATTACATTTGCTGGGAAGGCAGTGGGTCTATTTCTGTGTTCCCCACAATGGGGCCCAGGAACCCAAACGGGAAATAATTTAATCATCAAGTACAATGTATGTTCAGTTGTTTTTTTTGCCCTATATTTTCTTGGAGAGAGGGAAAAGGTGTAGTAGGCAGGAAGGAGGAGAAAAAAAGCTGGAGCAAGGAGGAGAATATAGAGCTTTTCCAGCCCGCATCGGCCTTATCAGTCATCTTCGTACTCATACTTGATGAAAAAGAGTTTTCCTCATCATCTTGATGGACAACACACACAGAGCTAGAAAAGTGTGGAAGGGTGGTAAGAATGAAAAGATGGGAAGAGGGGAATAAAAAAAAAGGATGAATAGAGTGGAAAGCAAGAGAGGGAGGGAGTGAGATACAATTAAGGAGGTAGAGAGCACAAGAAAATGGGAGCAGTTGATGGAGCAAGAGATTTAGGAGAGAGAGTGGGGGGGGGGGGGGGGAGTGAGGCAGGATGAGAGAGGGGAAGGGAGAGAATGACAAATTTCTATAGGTGGTTTTGAAATCGCAAGCAAAAATGTTTCCCTATTTGCTAGCAGTATAAAGGGTTGTTATAACTGTAAAACGGGAGCCGTCATGGTCTAGCAGCTAGATGCTCGACTGCGGATCAGAAGGTCCTGGATTCAGTTCCTGGCGGGAGCTGGACTTATTTTCAAAAACGGCCTTGGCTCCCAGATCGACCCAGCCTTGATTGGGTACCAGGTACAGTCCTAGGAAGTAAAGGCGGCCGGCATTATGCTGACCACATCACCCACCAAGTGCCGTTGGTCTATAAAATATAGGTCTAGCCCTATGTGCTCAATACACCTGAAAAGCGTGGAACAGGGTCCTGTACTTTCATAACTGTAAAGCAAGCTCATTAGACCATATCAAATTACATATTTTTTCAGTACTGTCCTTTCTTAACTCTTTGAGTCCCAACGAACGCATCATACGTTCATAGGTTCCCCCCTAGAAGCCCCAATGAACACAAGATGCACCAATTTTACATCTCTTTTGACTACCCCTTGGGCCTCTGATGCTAAACCCCCTGGGACTCAAAGAGTTAAAACATGACATGTTCTTATTTTATGTAATTATCATGTTGCTAAATTATAGGTGAGGTCTGCAAACACAAGAACTAACAAGTCGGCCACTGTGTATTCCACAGAATCATATGTTGTTTCTCTGGCAGCAAGGTGACTTTTTATTTGTGTATCTTTTTTAAAGTTTTGCTTATCTTGCACAACAGTTCAGCTCCTCCCCCCCCCCCTTTTTTTTTTTCCTACCCCCAATGAGCATGAAAACATAAAAGCAAATAATTGGGGATTTGCTGAAATCAGATGTATTGAAACATCATGGCATCTGATTGAAGAACAAGGGTGTTATTATAACTGTATGGCAGTATAAAGTTTAGTTGTGTATCCTTTACAGGTCATTGCAGAACCAACCCCAACAGCCCCTGGCTGTTGTGTGGTTTCTCTAGGCAAATTTACGTCTAGTAGTTTACCATTGCTTTCTGGACGGTCGGCTTTCTTGATACCACTGTCAAAACTAACGCAAGGCGCATGGCCCGCAGCTGGTATCGAACCCGGCATCCCGGCATTGCGAAGCATTCGCATCGACTTAGCCACAGAGCCGACATGGCAGTATAAACAGACTAAAATATTTGATTGGAAATAATGATAGACACCATGTCATCCATTAAAACCTAGTAGAGTTGAACTGGAAATCTTCTTTTTGCTCTTCCTGGCTGTAGTTTTCAGATAAGAAAGCCACAGGCTGTTTGAACGTTTGTATGTGACGCATGACCTCCACTGATCCATGCAGCTTGGTTTCCACTGAAAGGCTAACTGCTGAACTTGGGATCTCTCTTCTGCATGTAGAAAGTGGGTCTGAAACACTAATTCAGTAATCTTTGGTGCCTATCCATGTAGGCAAAGGAACAGGACATGACCTGCTTTAAAATGCCAAAATCTCTATGTGGGTTTTGCAGTCCCATTGTGTGGAAAACAAGAATAGATGCACTATCTCTCCAACAAGCATGTTGTAAGAGTCAGCTAACTGAGGGTTTCCTTCAGAGTTGAGAGGCAAGGAAAACCAGCTGCACATAAATAATCCAGTAAAATGGATGTACATGCAAAAGTCAGACCCTGACATGAAGCCAGAGTCCGAACTGATGAACAACCATGACTTTCCCCCAGAGCATACAGCCTGTGAACAAAGAAGAAGAAGAAGCAGAAAATGCGAAAAGTTATTCAGCAGTTTTATTGTCTTTAGTGTAATCTTGTATCTTACAAAGCATCTCTATTTTGGTCTCCTCTTTTAGTCCATCTGGAAAGGGAATCCTATCAGGGCATGCGGATGGTTCTATTATCCGTTATTTTTTTGACGATGAAGGATCAGGTGATTCACAGGTTAGTTCCGGATGATTGATTGTTGCATTTTATTGATAAATGTCTAGCATTACTTAATCAGTCTGAAAGGGATGTGTAAAAAAAAAAAAACGTTGCATGAAAATGGAAGTAATAGTTAATTGTGATGGTCCATTTTCTCATTATAGACAAATTCTCTCATGATTGGGAAATTACATCTATTAAGCATAAATTATGTGCTTGAATTTGGATGGGTGGAGTCGAATACAAAGTTTAATGTATGATAAACAGATCAAGTAATTAGAGGCAAGCATGCAAGTTGGCCAAAGTGTGCCAGATGAGAAAAACATGAAAATTGTGAGTGGAACATTCTAGAGCATGTGAGGTGAAATAGACTATTTAACCTTGGAGAGAATGAGAGAAATCAGTCTTGCTTTTGTTGTTGAAAGACCCTGTTGTATGGTGCTATTTAGTGAGACTTGTAGTAACCCAGTGTTGATATAATTAAGTCAAGCTTGTAGTAAGCCAGTGTTAGTTTCATTAAGTCAAGCTTGTAGTGAGTGGTCACTGTTGGTTTCATATGGTCAAGCTAGTAGTGACACACACTAATGTTCTTATTTAGTCAAACTAACAGTGACCCACTGTATTTGAGGTTTGAACAACGGACCAGCGTCATGGCACATGGGTGGTAAGTAACCCATAAGTGTTGCGTTCTTCTTCTCACTCAAGTCTGAGTCCGAAGAAGCTTAGCACAGTGCACAGGCTCTGTAGCACGAGCGAGGATCCTGAAATACTTTGGGTAGATTTTTAACTATAAATTTTGCCCGGGTAGTGCGGTTAGGCTACTCTTTTTGATTTCCAACTGAAAGGAATTTTTGACGTGCGCAGAGAACAGGGGAAATTACTATAAGTCAAAGTCCACATTAAAAAAATCCCTTACCGGGGATTAAACCACTGTAATCGTTATTTAATCAAACATTTGGTGGCCCACAGTTTTTTTTTATATGTTTTTTTTTAAATTTATAGTCCTCTTAGCCGTGGCAACAACTGTTCTCTTTAGGCAAGTGATTAATTTTGTGCTAAGCAGTTTCAATCATTCAGTGAACTTTTTTTTTTAAAGAGACTTAACTTCAACACCTATCTTTTCAGGGTAAAATTGCCACACATTCCTGCCCTCCCTATGCATTGGCCTTCTCCCAGAATGCCATTGTTGCTGCTGGGTGTGACAAACGCATCACTGCATACGGTCGTGATGGGCGCAGCTTCCAGCACTTTGATTACAGCCGTGAAGATAATGAACATGAGTTCACTGTGGCTGTGTGTTCTCCGAGTGGCCAGAATGTGGTCATCGGTAGCTTTGACAAGTAAGCTTTTCTTAGTGAATTAAAAAGACAAATATGTTGTATTATATCTTCTTCACGTTCACCGACTGTACACTCCTGGTGAATGTTCTGCTTTTTCGTCCAATTCTGGACTTTGAACTTGTTCCAGAAATTGACTTTTGTGTGCACATCTGTTTAACATATCTGGCTTATTTGTATGCAGATTGTTGGTTCTTCACATCTCTTACAGATGCACTCTGACTTTGAAATAAACGCCCCTAATTAATTACCTGGTATGACATGCTTGTTAAGGAGGCAGTGGGTTTATTTTCTGCTCCTCCGAGATGGGGCACCAGAACCTATTTGATGGGTCGCGTTAGATAAAAGACTTTATTTTATTATAACATGCACTAGTCACAGTTGGTTTGTGAGCAGTCTGTGAGTTGCTGAATCCTTAATTATCGGGAAAGGGGGGGGTAAAGAAGAGGAATTGTGGACGATGGAACTCCCAGCATGCCCTGTTAGATTCCCTTTCCAGATGCATATCACGGATTGTTTGCCAGAGAGATTCAGGTGTGTGTGGTTATAAGCAGGTTGATAGGTTAGCTGCTGCTGTCCCTCTGGGCAGTGAGCTATTTTATGATAAAGTTGATATGGTAAAGACTCCCTAGGATCAAGTGGACGGTGTAGCAGAACTGATAGTGCATCCATAGCTATAGAAGATGATTCAGCCGAGAGTTAGTAGAAAATTGTGTACACATTTAGTCAGGTCTCAGCTGACAGCATCAGTATGGTACTCTTCTTTGGCTACTGAGACAGGGGGTTGAGCACGTGTGGGAAGGTCCAAAATACAGTAATGTCAGTTATTTCTTTATTCATACATTTATTCATGAAAGGCTTCTACTAACTGAATTTTATTGATATGTGCCTCTGTGTTATTCTCCAAATTATCTGTTAAGGTAGAGAATAAGAATATGAAATACAGAAATGTATCTGGGGCCCTATTATAGGGAAACAAGAATAGACCCACTGGCTACCCAAAAGCATGTCGTAAGAGTCTACCAATTGGGAGTCAGATCTGTAAAACGGATGCACACGCAACACTCAGGTTCTGGAACAGGACTGCAGTCCAGAAGTGGGTAAACAACCAGAACTTTCCGCCAGAGTTTACGGCTGGTGAACACGAAGAAGAGGAATTCTCAGACAGTATTTTAAAATATAATGTATTCATAAAGCTCGTTTAATTTGGATGTTTGTAAAAACGGAACTGATGTTTTACTGTCAAATTCTTCTGGTTGTAAACTCTGGTGGAAAGTTGTGGTTTTTCATCCATTTTGTACTTTAGTCTTATTCTAGAGCTTGAATTTTGCGTGCAAAACCATTTTACAGATCTGGCTTACTTGTTTGCAGACTGTGGGTTCCTCGCCTCTCAGGCATATGCTCTGCGACTGGAGAGAAAAACTCAAATTTAGTCACATTGTACAACAGGCTTGTAAGGGATGCAATGGCCCTCTTCTTTCCCCCCGAAATGGGCACCAGAACCCACACAGAGAACTATACAAATGTTTCTTCACTTACGCAAGGAATGCTGCATCTATTTTTTGAGTAGTCATCTGTTTGCCCACCTGAATGTTTCATATCACATCTTCATATATTTTGTTTTTTTCACATGCTGTTAGATTGAGAGTACTTAACTGGAGTCCCCGTCGGCAGATGTGGGAAGAGCCCAAACTAAAAGAAATCCCAAACCTCTACACAGTCACAGCTCTGTCCTGGAAGAAGGACGGTTCCAGAGTTGTTGCTGTGAGTAAATCTTCACATAGTATTTCTTTGTCTTGTCCGTCGAGAATCACAGAAGCACAGTTGCTAGAATTTGCTAGCCAGCACAAAGGTCTTGGATTTGAATCCACAACAAGACTGCTTTTGTTTTTCTTAAAGTTGAACCTGGCTGCCAGGTTGACCCGGCCTTAAATGGGTACCAGCTATTGGCCTGGTAAGTAAATGTGGCCAGGAGGATGTTGATCAAAATACCCACAAAGCGCAACTGGTTTATACAAATATGTCTAGCATCATATGCCCAGTAGGCCACAGGTGTAAAAAGGGTCATTTACCTTATTTTACTGGCTCACTTGTTCACTTGAAACTTGTTTGCTGTGGTTTACAGCTGGACTGCAATATCTGCGCCCTTTCGGCCTAACACATCAGAGAACTGATTGAAAGTACACAAGACAGAAGGTTGTAAACAGATATGACTACCAACCTCACATGGCATGGAATATGAGAAAAAGAAGAAGACAAAATGCAGCTGTCACAAGTGGCTTGTGTGTGTGTGGGCGCGCGCGTGCGTGCGTGCATGAGTGCGTGTGTGGGTGCGTGTGTGTGTGTGTGTGGGGGGGGGGGCGGCGGGGGGGGGGGGGGGTTTGTTTGTTTGTTTGTCTGCTACTGTGTTTTGAGCAGATGCAGGAATGATCTATGACAGTGTTTCCTAAACTTTTCTTGGTTGCGGTGCGTTTTTTTCAGTTAAAAAAATTTCCTCAGTGCCCTAAATGAAGTAAAAGTATGACTATTCGTGTCTTGGTTAAATTAATTATGAAGCTTTTACAGTATTTCGGGGCGCCCTGTGAAGAGGGCAAATGCCTTTAAGGATTCATCAGATATGCCAGCTGAATGATAGAAATAGCACAAATTTGCTGGTATACAAGAATACACAGCTCAAATGCTATCTTAAGACGATTACCATATTATGGACGTACCAGAGCAAGTCATTATTCTACGCCTTAGAACAGAGCACAGTCAACTTTGCAGCCACATGTACACAATGTTTACGATTTGTGAATCAGCCATGTGCACATGTGGACTGGCACCTGAGACAACAGACTACATCCTCGAAGACTGTCCCAAACACATTTCCAGGCAAAACTTCTATTATGGGTCTCAGGGCTCCATTTTTGGGGGAAAAGAATATTCCCACTGTCCACTAACAAGCAGGGTGACTAATTAGGAGTTTGCTAAAATCAAATGTATTAGGCTGAGAGGTGCAGATATCACTGTCTAGCTGTAGACCACAACAAAGGTCAAACACAGAAGAAAGAAAAGGTGTACCATTTTAGTATTGTTTTTTATTTAACGAAAGAAAAGAAAAAGAAGAAAAGATAACTCTTTCTCTCCCAAGCAACACATCATGTGTAACTGAGTATTAACCATGTATATATATATCAACGTACTATAACTGATTTCACATCTTGTGTTTTGTCAGTGATTCTCAATGACTCTGACAATGTATTTGTTAGTGTATTTGGTCATTGGAGAAATATAATTTGTATTTGGTTAATATCCTTATTATTGCCTCCATCAGACATTAGCAGTGGTCTATTCTGGGATTGAATGAGTTGAAAGACTAACAGTTCTGTTATTAGTTTCTCTTTTTGTGTGCATCATCTCTTCAGGGCACATTGTGTGGTGGCCTAGAACTGTTTGACTGCTGCCTCAAGAGGACTCTGTACAAGAATAAATTTGAGATCACATATGTTGGTACCAGTCAGGTAGGTTCCGATATCTCTTCACTTGTAGGTTCAGCTAGAAATCAGCATATTTAACTGTGTGTGCCTGAAAGTTGGAATGTGAGAGAAGGGAAGTAAGGAATCTATGATTATGTGTATGTGTGTTCAAGGTCCCGCCTTTAAAAGTGGTAAAACAGACAGTAGTGACAGTGTGTGTGTGTAAATGAGTATAGGTATTTGAGAGAGGGAAGTAGGGAATATTTGAGTGTGTGTGTGTGTTTGTGTGTGCATAAGTATAGGCATTTTAGAGATGGAAGTAGAGAATATCTGGTGTATGACTGTGAGAGCGAGGAATAGAGACCTTGGATCAACCCCCAAATCTGAACTAATCAAGAAACAGTAATCCTGAAAGTTGGGTACATTAATTTAATAAATTTATTAAATTTATAGCCAAGATTTTATTTGATAATTCTAAATGATTTTACGTTTAAATTGTTAGTTAAGTAATAAAGCAATAATTATGATTCTTTTTCAGGCCATTGTCAGAAATCTGGCCACTAATACTAAAGTCATGCTGAAGTCCCACTATGGCTATGAAATCGACGAGGTTCGAATCATGGGTAGAGACAGATACCTAGTGGCTCATACATCAGACACTCTTCTCCTAGGAGACATGCTGACCTCCAGGCTGAGCGAGGTTCCTTGGCAAGGCTCTGGCAGTGAAAAATATTATTTTGACAATGAAAATGTAAGTCTAACTGATTCATTTCAGTATTGCTGATAGGCAGGTTTACAGTTTTTAGTAGTGGCAAGAATTTGCTTCTGACATTAGTTAGCTGCTACATTTTCCTCTGTATGTTGACTGAAAGGATATAGTTTCAGCATTCAGCTACTGACTTGATGAGTGCATGGCATGACACTGTGAGCTGCCGATTTCTTTTGGAATACTTTTCAGCTGCGGCCAATGTGGTTTGTATTGTAAACTGTAGATGCAGAAAATGGCAAGTGGCTTGCTACCAGAGAAGTTGTGAGACCTTAAGTGATTCATTGCGTGTGTAACTGCTCCTTCCTTTGACCATGAACTGCATTTCTAGTGGCGGACTGTTTGTATTGGCACTTGTAATTGCTGTCTTATGCATTTAATGCAGGCGTATCTGTTGGGTTTGCTAAGCCTGCACTGATTAAGTTCATTTTGAAGGGGATTGCAGAGGGGCTGAAACACAGATGGTGGTGCATCAGAACTGGTGCTCAAACTGGTTAAGATCTGTCTACACCTTCATGCATCTCTGTGGTCATGCTAGAAACAGGTTCCCAACTGGGTACCTGCCATAGACTGGACATTTCCTTTGAGGACAAAGCATATCTGCCTGAGATCTGAGGAACCACGTCTGCACACAAATAAGTCAGATCCGTAAAACGGATGTGCTCGCAACTCAAGTCCTGGAATAAGATCAAATATCCTAAGTGGACGAACCACCAAGACTTTCTGCTAGAGTTTACAGTCAGTGAACTCAACAGAGGAGGAGAAGATCTGAATGAAAATATCATCTGCATCAACCAAACCCATCATAGACTTCCATAGCTAATGTTTCATGGTTTCATATATTGAGTTAGGAAAAACGTTTTTTGAGTTATAATTAAACAATATTTTACACACATGACTGAAGCTGTGGACTGATTTGATGACCAGTGCTATATAAAAAAAAAAGTAAAGGACCCTTTCCACGCCTTTAGGCGTATAAGGCATATAGGTCTAGACCTATATTTTTATAGACCAACGGCACAAGAGGGGTGATGTGGTCAGCATCACAGTGCTATATGGCATAGACCATAAGAAAATGGCATTTACTGTAAGAACCAGATCAATAATGCTGCTTGGTAAATGTAAAAAGTAAATAGATATTTAACTCTTTCAGTCACACATGATTTGGCAGGAGATGCATAAGGGTGTACAAAGATAAAACCCAGCAGTATAAAACTTTCAGAGATTCAGCATATACTGTGTCACATGTTAAAACAACACGTCAGCTTTGTCTTTTCTTTTTTTTTAAAATTAAGCATGCTGAGGCTAAATGGATAAGATATAATACAGTCTTTAACACACCATGCATTGCTTAAGGTCAATTTTAAAAAAAATGTGAACTATTATTTTTAAAATAGCGACTTAATGACCTTTTCTCCCTAAAAGACCTTGGAGGAATAACCCGTTATATAACCTAGAATTCCTAGAAAGCATATTATAATTTAAAAAAAAAGCTTCTAAACTCAATCCACTTTAAAACATTTAAATTTGTGGGGGGGGGGGATTTTTTTAATAACTGGTGTAGTAATAAAATAAAAGGAATAATCATTGAACACACAAGGAGCAGAAAAATAAAAGTTGGTTTCTTTGTTTACACAGTAACAGGCACAGAGAGACATCTGAAGTCAAGTTATGGCACCATTATGTCTTTTTTTTAAAATCCCTCAAAATGCTATTTTCTCATTTAACCCCTCACCAAGTGTAATACTAAACAGTACCAAAGACATTATGTATGTCTAGGGGGACTGGTAAAATGAGTAACTTAAGAATATCAAACTTACAGAAATTTGCAACACAGAGCACTGTTACAATACCAGTGTTACATGATACAATTATAAACCTTTGGTTGTTACTGCAGCCTATTTGTGTGCACATTTGAAGTAAATGTTTGATTATTTTCTGTGTAGGTGTGCATGATATTCAATGCTGGAGAGCTGGCTCTGATAGAATATGGACAGAATGAGGTTCTTGGTTGTGTACGCACGGAGTTTATGAACCCACACCTCATCAGGTACGATTTGTGAATAGTTTATGTTGTGGAATAGAGCTAAGCTGAGTTAAGAACCGACATAACAGCACTCAGGATATTGCCTTAAGCACTCTGTCCCCATCTTCAGCAGCTTGAGTTACAGTAACAATGGTATCAGATGCAGTCTGGTTGTATTTCAGTCTTGCCTTTTCCTGGAAGGTTGAATGCAGCCCAGGTTCCCTGGTCACACCCCACTGCACCGTTTTAGACCGTGGCGATCTGTTTGTACTTCCAAAATGTTCACAATAACCCCATCTAGCCTGTCATGCAACAGTTTGTCACCGAATGGTGCACAACCAGCCAGTCTGTTTGCCGGTCGGGTTTCGGGGGGGGGGGGGGGGATGTCAAAAATAATTTTTATAAATAATTATAAGAGGTGGCACTCACTTAACCCCTCAAAGGGTTCGAAACAGCTGATGACATACTCACACAGTGGTTTTCTACCTAGGGGGCGCAATGAAGTTTCAGGGAGGGGTCCCACCAAGCAGCTTTGAAATTGAGTGCATTTGAACTTGTAATAATCTGTTATTTAAAAAAAAAAATTTGTTTAATTATAAGTAAAATATTAAAACTTAAAGCCAAGAACATTATGTTATTTGACACTTTAATTTTTGTGGATGTTTTTCTGTAAGTTCTTGTTAACAAGGCTTGGGATTTTCCCTCCCCTTTTTAATCACTTTTTTTTGGGGGGAATCGAGGAAATGAAGCGGGGGAGGTAGGGGGAACTGCTACATTATGGAGCAACAATGGAGCCACTCAACAAAAGTCAAAAGAAGACAGGCTATGGCAGTGCGGAGGTTAATCAGTATTGTTAATTGCATGTAATAGTAGAGTCCTCGACTCTCACTCACTCACTGAGGAAAAAGATTGAAGCTTTGGAATTGAAATGTTACAGAAAAATTCTCACAATACCATGGATCATGAAGAGGAAAAACATCAACATTCTAAATGAGTAGAACATCAAGGAGAACTGGCTTATTAACATCATCCTGTCCCGAAAGTTGAAGTATGTTGGTCACATCAAGCATCATGGTGGCTTGGAAAAGACTGTGATGGAGGGTACAGTTTGTGGAAGGCGAGGCAGGGGTCGACCATCGTGAAGATGGATACAGGACATTGAAGAAGGATACAGGACATTGGAGATGCATTGGCATTGAAAGCACATAGGGCCGGAGAGCTGGCTAGGGAAAGGAAAACTTTCAGGTATGCCGTGAGGAGTGTGACACTCTCTAAAGGACTTTTTGATTGATGTAGTAGGCAACCATCAGTCCCTTGGGACCATGGAGTTGTGTTGCTAGTTTTGAGAACAGCATCTGCAATGACTGTAATGCTACACCAACATCTTCATGTAGCAGATCCTTTTGCAGAACCTCGCTCTCATCCCAGCCCACCTGTTTACACCACTGAGAAATAGGGGAGCCTCCATGTTGTAGCGGCTAGACACCAGCTTGTGGATCCGAAGCTCATGCGCTCAAAACCGAACAGAGCCAGACTTTTTCAAGAATGACCTTGGCACCCAGTTGACCCAGCCTTAAATGAGTATCAGGTAAAGTCCTGAGAAGTAAAGGCAGCAGGTATGATCTTGACCACATAACCCACTGAGTGCTGATTGCTCCATCAAATTTAGGTCAAAAACTATACAATGAGTGTGAGTAGAGGCATTGAAAAGAGTGCTTTGCTAAGGTCAGATTTGGAACTGTGTGCATGCGTGTATGTCTGCGGGTGGGTGGGTGTGTATGTGAGAGAGAGAGAGAGAGAGAGAATTTTGAATATTTTAATTAATAACTGATATTCATCTCCCAGTGTTCGCCTTAATGAACGGAAGCAAAAGGGGATACAGGAAAACAAAAAGATGGCCTATCTCATTGACTTAAAAACTGTTGCCATCAGTAAGTATCTTACCATGATCATAGACTTGGGTTCTGTGGGTTCGAACACAAAACAACACTTTCAAGTACTTTAGTGTTGTATCCTTTTTCTTCTCTTTCTCCTTCATCTCCTATTCACCCTCTTTTTCTTCTTCTAATTCTTTTGCTTCTCCTTCTTCTTCTTCATCCTTCTTCTCTTCCTTCTTCTCTTCTTCCTCTTCTTTTTGCTCCTCCTTCTCCTCTTGCTGATCTTCCACCTCTTTGTTCTCTCCTCTTCTTTTCCACTTCCTATTTCCCCCTCTTTTTCTTCTTTTAATTTACTGCTTCTACTTCTTCTTCTTCTTCCTTTTTCTCTTCTTCTTCCCCCTCTTCTTTTTCTTTCTCCTCTTGCTGATCTTCCACCTTTTTGTTTCATCTTCTTCTTTGGCATTCCAAGTTGACATGCATAAGCAATCCCACTGTTATTAATAATTTATTATTTATTAATCACATTGTGTTTAAATTTAAGGCCGTTTATTTTTGTAACTTTGTTAACTTTGGACTTTTTTAGTCCAAAAAGATACTATTTTAACATGCTGTCTCTTAAGATATTTTACTTCAAGATTTTACTAGAACTGACATGTTTTTCACTAGTTTTCAAATGGCTCAGTAAAGAATATTTTTTGTTTGATTTTCCTGGCACAAGAGCAGAGAAGTAATGGTGTGACCCGTCTGCAGGGGAACTTTGACTATCTGACTAACAATTGTGATGTATTGGTCTTGTTTCTTTGCAGTTGATATTCTGACGGGTCTAAACATAGCACAAGTGAGTCATGACAACAGGATTGACTGGCTTGAGGTAAGTAATGTTCTCATGCATATGTGTTGGGTAACGTGGGGGACTCACTGATGAAACAAGCACTTATCGACTTCTTTTTCTTCTTTTAGTCACTTGAAATAGATTATCTGTGTCTACACTGTTGTCTGTAGTATGAACATCACTGTCATAATTCACAGACAGCGACCCCTAAAGTTTGGTTTACACCGATGTTTCTCTTGGCCAAAAGTTTTGCCTTGATATGTTGTGTTTGGGATAGTCTTGGAGGATGTGATATATTGTCTCCGGTGCCAGTCCACATGTACACATGGCTGATTTGCCAATCCTAAATTGTGTGTACTTGTGGCTGCAAAATTGATTGTGTCCTGTTCTAATGCGTAGAGTAATAACTTTCTCTGGTCTGTGAATAATATGATAATCGTCTTGTGTCGATTTTGGTAGCTTTCTGATTGATTTGATTATTCTCTTCTTCTGTTGATATGAGACTGCTACATCAGATTGTTCTTCATTTGCACCTTCCTAAGCTAGTTTATCAGTTCTTTCATTTCCGGGAACTCCACAATGGAATAGTATGCATACCTAACACCGGTTGCCTAGTTTGGAGTGTAGTTTCCGTATAACAAGGAATTTTCAAGATTCAGGTGCCTGAAGTACTACTGCTGTTGCATTTGTCAGGAATACCATGGGTTGTGAAGTATGACACAAATTTAGCAGTTACTCTGCTGCTATTTTGATGGCTTGAACTACTGCATCATAGTTGTGACAGTTCTTTCCTGTTGTACTTATGGACTGAATGGTTCAGTGTGCAGTTAGTTGCTTACCCAACTAACCCAGTTATGTATAAAGACATGGAAGAGTCCATTACTTATATTGTCAGTTTTAGCATGTTTTAGTTGATTATATGCTATTCTATTAATATTCTATTAATGGTTGTGATATATAGTTTATTGTGCTTCATAATCTTCATTTCTCATGCTAATCTGTAACACTTCTTTGCCCTAAATATTTCATTTCAGCTGAATGAAACTGGCCATAAACTGCTGTATAGGGACAACAAACTGAAGGTAGGGAATATCCATCACTGGCTTCAAGTGTTGTGACTACTGGTGTAGTTCATCATACCTCTCAGCATATTGTGATTTTTAACAGAATTTAACAGTCCATATGCTTTTTCAAAACATGACTCTGAAAGGCAGAACATGACTGAAATGCAGAACATGATTCTGAAAGGCAGAACATGACTCTAAAAGGCAGAAAATGACTCTGAAAGGTAGAACATGACTCTGAAAGGCAGAACCTGACTCTGAAAGGCAGAACACGACTCTGAAAGGCAGAAAATGACTAGAGAAGAACAACAAATGACTGACTGTCAAGAATCTTCTGTCATATTAGCTTATATCCTTCATGAAAACATTATTTACCTCCTTCTTTTGTCATTATTTGCTTTTTGCTGCTAGGCATCACAAGTTAACAGTTGGCTGAACTAGGGCGTGCTCAGTTGCTTGTTGTGATGTTGTGAAGTCCCAGGCTGTCAGTGGCTACTTCACTCCATTATCTTCTAGATCGCCTGCTGTATCCATTTTCAGGTTGTATGCTCTCGTGTCCGGCAGCAGTGGGTTCATTTTCAATAAGTGGCTGAACAGTTTGAGTCTTAAAGAAAGAGCACATTTGAATGTCACCATCTTCCCTGGGTGGGTTCTAAGACCCCCATTTTGGGGCAAGAAAATGGACCCATTGCCCCGTCAACAAGCATGTCGTAAAACACAAGTAATTAGGAGTGTTGCCTTCAAAGCCGGAATGTAGCTGCCTGAGAGACGGGGAACCAAAATTGTGCATACAGATAAGCTATACCTGTAAAACAAATATGCATACAAAACACAAGTTCTGGAATAAGACTAAAATCCAGAAGTGGACAAACAACCATAACTTTCTGCTGGGGTTTATAGCCGGGGAACGCTGAGAAGAAGAATGCCATGTCATTGCAAAATATTGATTCCACTTCATAAGTTTATCAATCAAGGTGTTGTTCAATGTTATATAGAGTCACCTTTGTTACGTTCCGCTTCATAAGTTAATCAATCAGTATGTTGTTCAGTGTTATGTAGAGTCACCTCTGTTACATTCCACTTTATAAGTTAATCTATCGAGGAATTGTTCATTGTTATGTAGAGTCACCTCTGTTACATTTCACTTCATAAGTTAATCAATCAAGGTGTTGTTCAGTGTTATGTAGAGTCACTTCTGTTACATTCTGCTTAATAAGTTAATCAATCAAGGTGTTGTTCAGTGTTATGTAGAGTCATATTTATTACATTCCACTAAATCACACTTGTTATTTCTGCTTTGGTTGCAGCTGCATCTATACGACATTGACACCCAGCAGAAAAGCAGTATCCTCAACTACTGCTCCTATGTGCAGGTAACAAAACAAAAAACATAAATAGTTAATTACTTGTGCAGTAGTGTTTGAACATCAAGTAAGATTACCTAGTAAACAGCATCTTGTCTCAGAAACTGAAATATTTTAGCCATATCAAATGCCACGGCAGACTGGAAAGAATACTAGCAGAAGGCATTGTTCCAGGAAAGAGGGGTACACCAGCATGAAGATGGGCACAGGATATAAATGAAAACTTACCTAGGAAGTGTGTGACGCAGGGGACTCCTCGCCTCTCATGTAAATGCACCCCAACTTCAAAGGAAGTGTACCCCCTGACTTCAAAGGAAGTGTACCCCCTGACTTCAAAGGAAATGTATTCCCTGACTTTGAAAGAAGTGTACCCCCTGACTTTGAAAGAAGTGTACCCCCTGGCTTCAAAGGAAGTGTACCCCCTGACTTCAAAGGAAGTGTACCCCCTGACTTTGAAGGAAGTTTACCCCCTGACTTTGAAGGAAGTGTACCCCCTGACTTTGAAGGAAATGTACCCCCTGACTTTGAAGGAAGTGTACCCCCTGACTTTGAAGGAAGTGTACCCCCTGACTTTGAAGGAAGTGCACCCCCTGACTTCGAAGCAAGTGCATGCCCTGACTTCCAAGAAAGTGTACCTCCTGACTTCGAAGAAAGTGCACCTCCTGTGACATGCTTGTTGGGTGAGGAGCTCTATCCACCCCCCTCCCCCCTCCCACCACCACCACAAGCGGGACCTCGGAACAGCATGGGGAACTATTAGTGATGTATGAAACACTCAGGCTCAGCCAGACTTTCCATTTTTTTTAGCCGTGTTTGAGACTGGTTTAGCCGAGTTACTTTCTTGTTTGATAACTGTTAACAAATGCTTGTTTTGTGGTCCTTGACAGTGGGTTCCAGGCAGTGATGTGGTGGTCGCACAGAACAGAGGCAATCTGTGTGTGTGGTACAATATAGAGGCCCCCGAGAGAGTCACCATGGTGCCTATAAAGGTAAGATGTCCAACACAGAGGAGGCTAAAGAAATAGTTTATGGATGTTGGGGTTGTATCAGTACAATACTTAACCCCATGTAGCCCCGAGAAGGCTAGATCTAGTCAATTACGGTTGTGACACAGCTCCATAAATGTCCATATATGGTCATGTCTGCAGTGACTTGTTCTTGAGAAGCGTGTCCAGTTCCTTCTGTCATTTGTGCACCTATGTGATGTTTAATGGTCCAGAATATGCATATAGTAACTAAAAATAACATGGGGGGGGGGGGGGGGGGATCGCTACGACCCGAATGGCATTTTTGAAAGCCAAGTTGATGTCATATTGTGCTGACAGCCTCTGTGATACAGGTCATGGGGTCACAGCATGAGACGCCCAATGCTTTTTGTTTTTTAGGCCCTGACTAAAGTATTTTATTTAATGCTTTACTTTGTTCATCTTCATTGATTACTCCTTTCAGTATCTTTATATCTTTCAACAACAATTGAAAAAAATATAGATAAGATCAGGAATTATGTTAAGTTAAGAACTGACATCACAGATTTCAGAATATTCCCATAAGAGCTAAGTCCCTATTTTCAACAGTCATTGCAGAGTTCCTGTTCTGATGGTACAAGTAGCAGTTTAATTGTATGTCCTTCTTGCCTTTCCCCTGAGCACAGAGTGTGACCCTATCCCTTGGTCATTTCCCTGAGCACTGAGAGTGACCCTGTCCCCTAGTCATTTTCCCTGAGCACCGAGTGTGACCCTATTGCCTGGTCATCACTCTGAGCACCGAGTGTGACCCTATTCCCTGGTCATTCCCCTGAGCACCAAGTGTGAACCTATCCCCTGGTCATTCCTCTCAGCACCGAGTGTGAAATATCCCCTGGTCATTCCCCTGAGCACCGAATGTGACCCTATCCCTTGGTCATTTCCCTGAGCACTGAGTGTGACCCTATCCCCTATCATTCCCCTGAGCACCGAGTGTGACCCTATCCCCTGGTTATTCCTCTGAGCACTGAGTGTGACTCTATCCCCTGATCATCCCCCATTGCACCGAGTGTGGGTGACCCTATTGCCTGGTCATTCCCCTGAGCACCAAGTGTGACCCTATTCCCTGGTGATCCCCCACTTCACCGAGTGTGACTCTATCCCCTGGTCATTCACCTGAGCTCCGAATGTGACCCTATCCCCTGGTCATTCCCCTGAGCATCGAGTGTGAATTATTCCCTGGTCATTCCCCTGAGCACCAAGTGTGAATTATTCCCTGGTCATTCCCCTGAGCACCGAGTGTGAATTATTCCCTGGTCATTCCCCTGAGCACCGAGTGTGAATTATTCCCTGGTCATTTCCCTGAGCACCGAGTGTGAATTATTCCCTGGTCATTCCCCTGAGCACAGAGTATGAACTATTCCCTGGTCATTCCCCTGAGCACTGAGTGTGAATTATCCCCTGGTCATTACCCTTAGCACCGAGTGTGAATTATTCCCTGGTCATTCCCCTGAGCACCGAGTGTGAATTATTCCCTGGTCATTCCCCTGAGCACCGAATGTGACCCTATCCCCTGGTCATTCCTCTGAGCACCGAGTGTGTCATTCCCCTGAGCACCGAGTGTGACCCTATCCCCCGGTCATTCCTCTGAGCACTGAGTGTGACCCTATACCCTGGTCATTCCTCTGAGCACTGAGTGTGACCCTATCCCCTGGTCATTCCCCAGAGCACCGAGTGTGACCCTATCCCCTGATCATTCCCCTGAGCACCGAGTGTGACCCTATCCCCCGGTCATTCCTCTGAGCACTGAGTGTGACCCTATCCCCTATCATTCCCTTGAGCACCGAGTGTGACCCTTTCCTCTGGTTATTCCTCTGAGCACCGTGTGTGACCCTATCCCCTGGTGATCCCCCACTTCACCGAGTGTGACTCTATACCCTGGTGATCCCCCACTGCACCGAGTGTGACTCTATACCCTGGTGATCCCCCACTTCACCGAGTGTGACTCTATACCCTGGTGATCCCCCACTTCACCGAGTGTGACTCTATCCCCTGGTCATCCTCCACTGCACCGAGTGTGACCCTATACCCTGGTCATCCTCCACTGCACCGTTCTTTCAAGACTGTGATGACCTATTTCTGCTTCCCCACTGTTCACTTACTCTCAGAGGACCTTGACCACATCTAGCTTGTCATTCATCAGTATACCACCAGAATTAGCCAATCCATCTGTCTGTTTATTTCCCAAACACACCTGCATAAATATCCAAAGGATACTAACCAGGACCTCTGGAGTAATCCTTGAGTAATTTTGTTTGATAGTTCACTGTTCTTCTGGTTTTTCAGGTTGACATTATTGATCTAGAAAGAAAAGATGGTAGAACTGAAGTTCTTGTCCATCTGTCTGTTTATTTCCCAACATATTTAAATTCCCTGAAAAAATATCCAAAAGACACAACTAACCGGGACTTCTGGAGTAATGCTTGAGTAATTATGTTTGATAGTTCACTGTTCTTCTGGTTTTTCAGGGTGACATTATTGATCTAGAAAGAAAAGATGGTAGAACTGAAGTTCTTGTGAATGAAGGTGTGAGCTCTGTTGCCTATACTCTAGACGAAGGACTCATTGAATTTGGAACTGCCATAGATGATGGAGACTATGCCAGGTAAAGTTTTGCATTGTGTGGCTGTTTATAGTTAAGGGTGTTGCTGTTAATCCATTGCTAACCAAATCCATTTTCTTAAAAGTAAAAATAATTATTTAATACAGCATAAAAGTAAATGCCAAAAATTTGAAACAGTGTCAGAGTTTGAATTTTCTAGGCGCAATAATAAATTTAATTCACCATGCCTTTTAGCAGTTAGAATGAACATCCTAATGTAAGTTTTGTGTGATGTTGTTGCTGCAAGAAGAAAAATATTTAATGCATGTGAAACCTAGAAACGGGAAATAAAGTATACTATGCCCTTCAACATCTGTTGAAGTAAAGTTTCTGTCTCGCAACACCAAGATCAGAATATATAAAACGTTGACAAGACCAGTCGTTTTATATGGCTCTGAAACTTGGAGCACAACTAAAAAAGATGAAGCCTTATTACAGGTTTTTTTAAACAGTCTTATGACGAATCTTTGGACCCATCAAAGATGCAAACAGCGGGCAATGGAGAGTGAGAAGCAACAACGAAATTCATAATCTGTTTAAATCACAACTGATCACTGGCATCATGGGAGCTAATAGACTGAAATGTTTAGGGCATATTGAAAGAATGTCAGATGACAGAGAAGTAAAAACTGTATACACAAGGGAGACGAATGGTCGTAGACCACAAGGCAGACCAAGAAGATGATGGATAATGTCCCGACAGACCTGCAAACACTTGGTGTCACCAACTGGAAAGAGAAGGCCAATCAGAGAGATGAATGGAGGTGGGTGATATCTGCAGCAATGTACCTCAAGGGCTCAGAATGCTGTAGAAGAAGAAGATGTGAGACCGAGACAATAAGCTGAGAAACAAATTCAGATAGAAAATATATGGTAAAACTAATCATACTGGGTTAGAGAGAGAGTAGCAAACAGTGCTGTGGCTCGCCTGGGAGGTGAGGAACAGTCTGCATACAAATAAGCTGCATCTGTAAAACAGATGTGCAGGCAAAACTCAAGCTTTAGAACAAGATTAAAGTCTAAAAGTTGAATAACAACCAGGACTTTTCAATGGTTTCTAGTTGGTGAACACGAAGAGCACCTCTCAGATCAGGCTAGTTTTTTCTTGCTCTGCCACACAACCACCTGGCAAACCAGCAGTGGTGTACACAACTGCTACTACACAACCACCTGGCAAACCGGCAGTGGTGTACACAACTGCTACTACACAAGCACCTGGCAAACCGGCAGTGGTGTACACAACTGCTACTACACAAGAAAGAATCAATTATACGACAGACTCTTGTGGATACTGGACTGGCAACACTACAGATCCATCACCCAAGCCACCTGAGAAGTGCAAGAGAAGTACACACACAAAAACCATGACACTTGGCTGCAACCTGGCATCAGTCAGACGGCAGAAATGGGAGAACAGAAGCAGTAAAAGTAATTATGTATTGGAGAAATATGAGTTAGAAGAAGTTATTGTAATGATAGGACACAAAAACGATGTCACTGGGCTACAACCTGGAATCAGTGAGACAACAAAACCAAGACACCGAGCTGGAACCTGGTATCAGTGAGACAACAAAACCACAACACTGGGCTACAGCTGGTATCAATGAGACAACAAAACCACGACACCAGGCTACAACCTGGTATCAGTAAGATGACAAAGCCACGACACCAGGCTTCAACCTGGTTCAGTGAGACAACAAACGAAGAAGAAGAAGAATTAACTCATAACCTTTAGAAACTAACTAAATCTCAGAGCTAACAATCCCATATCAAATTGTCATGTTCTGTAAGAGTGAAATGTATAGTTGAAATTCTCTTAGGGCTGTGGCTTTCTTGGAGACTCTGGAGATGACTGCAGAAACTGAAGCCATGTGGAAGACTTTGAGTAAGATGGCTCTTGAGGAGAAGCAGCTGCACATTGCTGAGAGGTGAGTCTGGTTGTCATTGTTTTATGTCCTGCTAGTTGAGTTGAGTCAAGCATTGACATCACAGCACTCAGGGCATTCCCATGCATGCTCTGTCCTCATCTTCAGCAGCCAGTGCAGAGTTCCAGTACTGATGGTATCGGTCACATTCTGGGTAGAAGTATGTCTGGCCTTTCCTCTGAGTGTAGTGAGCCGGCCAGACCCTCTGGTTACACCCAGGTGCCTCATTCTCTCCAGGCCATAATAATCTTCTTTCTCTACTGATTCCGTTGTTTGTTCCTTGACCACATCTGCCTTGTCATGCATCAATTCACCACCCATTGGTGCGGATCCAGCCAATCTGTCTGCCTGTTGATTACCCACCACACCGGCATAACCTGGAGAAAAGATCCAAAGTATGCCAACTACCCGTGACCTTTCCAGTGAAGCTTGCCACTCTGCTCGAAGCATCCCTGTCTTCACCTTTTTCAGCCTGCCTTCAGAGTCTGTTACAATTATGAAATGTGTTTATGTCCTGCTAGGTATTTTTAAATGCTTCTTCTTCTTCTTTTTCTTCTTAGCATTTACCAGTGTAAACTCTGGCAGAAAGTTCTGGTTGATCATCTACTCCTGGAACTGGAACTCCTTTGAGTATCTCTGTTTTACAGATCTGGCTTATTTGCAGACTGATGGTTCCTTGCCTCCTTGCAGATTGCACTCCATCTTTGAAGGAAACCCCCTAAATTAGTCACCTCCTCGGACATGCTTGATAGCGGGGCATTTGGTGTATTTTTTTGTCTCCAAAATGGAGGCCTAGAGCCCACACAGGGAGTTTTTAAATACAGCTGCAGGAAATGTTGAATATGACTGATTGGTTGGCACCTTTCCATCTTTCCAGAAAATAGTGTTATATTGCGCTATGAGGAGGCATGGAAAACAGCTAGGCTGCGATGTCTGTGCCTTCTGGATCAGAATATCTAGTTTAGATAAAGCCTTAATTAGTTGCCTTATATGAAAAAACCAGTTTGAGGTGGTGGGTCTGTTCCATCCCCTACCCTGATATGGTGTCCTGGAACCCGTATGAGAAATACCCATGTTTAGATTAGGTTTCCCTGTGTGGGTTCTGAGGCCCCATTGTTGGGGAGAAAAAAACAGACCCACTGCCTCCCTAACAAGCATGTTGTAAAATCCAACTAAGTAGGGGTGTTTCCTTTAAAGTCAGAGTGCATCTGCCTGAGAGATGAGGAACCAACAGTCTGCATACTAATGAGCCAGATCCATAAAACAGATTGAAGGTTTGAAGGTTTTGAACAACAGATCAACATCATGGCACACATGTAGTAACCTATAAGTGCTCTGTTCTTCTTCTAACTCAAGTCTGAGTCAGAAAAAGCTCAGCACAGTGCACAGGCAATGTAGCACCGGTGAGGATCCTGAAATACTCTAGGTAGATTTTTGACTCCAAATTTTGCCCAGGCAGCGCCGTTAGGCTACTCTTTTTGATCTCCAACTGCCAAGGGATTTTTCTATGTCTGCATCAGTGCACACGGGTGTCCGATCTCACTACCCAGAGACCAGGGGGAATTACTAGAGGTCCAAGTCCACATGAAAAAATCCCAGCCTTTACCAGGGATTGAACCTGGAACCTCTAGCACTCGAGGCGGATACCATGCCTCGAGACCACGCAGCCCCCCCCCCCCCCCCCCCATAAAACAGATGTGCAAACAGAGCTCAAGTTCTGGAACAAGACTAAATTCTAGAAGTGGACACACAACCAACTTTTTGGAGTGTGCAGCTGGTGAATGCCAAGAAGAAGAAGAAGAAGAGATTGGGTTGGCCTTCTCAGAGGGAATTCAGTCTCCTGACCACCATGCCTACATGCAAGAGACCGAGCCAGAGTACTACTGTTGTTTTCTTTGTCGAACATAATAGGTTAATTTCTATGTTTCTTGCAACAAATGTGAACTAATCTGGAATCTTCTGCCCAGGTGCTTCTCGGCCTTGGGTAACGTGGCTAAGCTAGGTATCTGAAGGAGACACTAAGAATAGCTGAAGAGGTTTCCAAGCAGACGGTGAGTTGTTTCATTTGTGAATTTTTAAAGTTTTTTTTAAAACTTTTTCAGTAACACTTGGGTATCACTCTAATTTATTGCTTTTGCATTAATTAATTTAGTCCTGGAAATATTACCATTTGAATTACATTGAAAGACAGAATGAAATGGCATGCCGTCTGCTAAGAATGCAGCCAGACAAAACTGTTTACATGAACATTTTTGTGGAAAGGTGAAAGGAAGAAATAAATTGACAGTGTAGCTGAAATCTGCAGAAAGATGATCAAAACCTTCACTTAGGCTGCCTGACTAGTGCAGTACAAGTACCAAAAACCACAACATTGGGCTGCACAACCTGGTAATAGTGTGAAATCAAAAGAAGAAGAAAAAAATAATGAGAAGCTCTTAAAATATTAATGGATAGACACTGTGCCAGAGTGACAAATTTTGGGAATAGAAGTCAAAGCACTGGCTCAGAAACAGTCAGTTTTCAAGAGGGTTATGTACCATACAGCATGACCTTGATTGAGGGTGTACCACACAGCTTGACCTTGATTGAGGGTTACCATACAGCTTGACCTTGATTGAGAATGTACCATACAGCTTGACCTTGATTGAGGATGTACCACACAGCTTGACTTTGACTGAGGATTTACCACACAGCTTGACTTTGACTGAGGATTTACCACACAGCTTGACTTTGACTGAGGATTTACCACACAGCTAGACTTTGACTGAGGATTTACCACACAGCTTGACCTTGATTGAGGATTTACCACACAGCTTGACTTTGACTGAGGATTTACCACACAGCTTGACTTTGACTGAGGATTTACCACACAGCTTGACTTTGACTGAGGATTTACCACACAGCCTGACCTTGATTGAGGTTGGAAGAGGCTGTGCAGTTTACAGTACTGGAGTACATGCTAAACAATGCTCAGCACCAGGTTGCATATTTTCTTCTCCGCGTTTGCTGGCTGTATACTCCGACAGAAAGTTCTGGTTGTTCATCCACCTCTGGACTCAAGACTTGTTCCAGAACCTGAGATTTGCGCGCACATCCATTTTACAGGTCTGACTTATTTGTATGCAAACTGTTGGTTCCTTGCCTCTCTGGCAGATGCACTCCGACTTTGAAGGAAACTCCCAATTCCTCGTCTCTTATGACATGCTTGTTGGGAAGGCAGTGGGTCTGTTTTTGTTTTTCCCTACAATGGGGACCTGGGAACCCACACGGGGAAGCTGCATATTGAGAAAGTTAAATGTTATATTTTCCGCAGGGAGGGGACGGTTTTCAACATTACAAAGTCAGGGCCAGACTGGCAATATCAGACAGGAAGTTTAAGGAGGCAGAGTCTATTTATCTTGAAGGGGTAAGTCAGTGTTACGGTTTTCGTGTATTTACTGTGTAAAAGTTTATCGACTGGAACAGAAAAAGATCACAAGGTTCAAAATCGGGACTTTATGCTGGATGTGCTAAAATGTTGTAAAAGTTGAGACGCTCCAGTGTTTATCTACTCATGTGTGGGGCTCTTAATATAATAATAAGGAATGATGAAATACAAAGGAGAATGGCAGCAGCTCTGGATGTCATTAGAAGACAAGTAAAATGGTTTGGTCATATAACACGGATGTCAACAAACACTATACCACAGGAAGCAGTGATGCACAGACCAGGCGGGAAGTGTCGAAGAGCCGACCATGCAAACCATGAACAGAGGGAATAACTGAGTCCCTGTGGATCCTTTTTATGTTGGAGAGCTGTTTTTTTTTTTTGCTAGGACGAATACACAGCAATCCTGCTTGTAGTCTCTGCAATGTTTCCACACAACAGTCAGAGTTGACAGTGTTGCTGTGCTTTGAACATTCTGCCTGGATTATGCCCCGGCAGTACCAGAGAATGGGCTTCAAAACCTTTCTCGCTGATGCGGCAACCCTGAACTTTTTTTTAGGTAGGTGAGTTCTTATGCCTGAATTCATAAATTGTTTTTAAAGATCATAAAAATATGTCTCATCGTCAGTGACAGTTCGACATACAAAGGCATCGCCTTACCGTTCATTGAGTGCAGATGTTCCTTACACATCTGATGTTGGTTGTGGTTCATTTCTGATATCAGCAAATGAGGAACCCATCTTTCCTATGCCAAAGCATGACTTAAATAATGTGATGTACTCGCTCCATCAAAATCCCAAGCATAGTGGCTACATCTTTTCGCTTGATGCAGTGATTATCACAAATCAGTTCATCAGTGCAAGCCTGGTGTTGTTTATCCACAGCTATGATCAGTCATCTGCTCTGAGTATGATGAGGCAGGTCCATCAAGGCTGGACTTTTGCCTTGCCCACCTCCTAACAGGCCTCCTGACATCCATACAAGCGTCACCATATACCACTCTCATTCTTCAACGCATGTCAGTGGGTACACAACCATCAGAGTATTCAGTAACAGCTCATTGCTTGAACCGAGTGTCCATGTGTATCTCTATTTTGAATACTGTTGTGCACATTCGCCACTTTCCACACACCTTCTTCTTTCTTCACGTTCACCAGCTGTACACTCTGGCGGAAAGTTCTGGCTGTTCGTCCACTACTGAACTGCAGTCCTGCTCCAGAACCTGAGTGTTGCGTGTGCATCAGTTTTACAGATCTCATTCTCTTGAATACAGACTGTTGGTTCCTTGCCTCTCTGGCAGATGCACTGCGACTTCAAAGGAAGCTCCCCAATTAGTCGACTCTTACGACATGCTTTTGGGGAGGCAGTGGGTCTATTCTTGTTTTCCCCTACAATGGGGCCCCAGAACCCACACGGGGGTTCCACACACCTGACATATGTGTCTTGAAAGTCACTTAGTCGTAGAATATTCTCACATCAGTGTTGTTTGCTCTCTGAGCTCTATTAACAGTGATGTCATTGGATGCATTACTTTTCAAACGCCCTCGTACAGTGGCACAACATGAGAATGATGATCATGATGAAAAGTGTGTTGTCATCTCATCTTTGTTGTTTATCCTCTTGTAATTTGCAATGCTAGGATAAAATATGAGTTGTGGGAAAGTTCCCATTTGTTTGCTTCATTTATGCTATTACCCAGGGATTCCCTACATCCTGTCTGTTGGCAGCGGAGTTCAGTGGGCAAATCCCTTTACTTGTTGTTTTGTAATTAAATTGACAACTGTCACTGCTTCCACTTTATTATTTCAGATTTCATCATTTCTTATCCAATCTCTCCTCAATATGCCACAGTATTTGCATGTGTCTTCATTTTTTGTCATCAGGCTGTTACCAGGCTGTAGCCTGGTGTTGCAGTTTTCTGTATTTGTCTTGCACTTATGTGGCTTGAGTGATAATTTTTTTTTTTTTTTGCAGCTCTCCACTATGCCATCTGTCCATTTCTTCCTTCGTCTTCCTTTCACCTTCTTCCCAGAGGTTCTGCTGTTAAAGTCCTATATGCAGTTTTGTCTGGCTTTGTTCTGACCAGATGGCAGAACCATTTCATTCTCTGTCTCTTAATGTAATTCTGGAATGGTCTTATTGGAACCTTGTTTCTTATGCTTAAATTTGTGACCCTGTCCCTTCTTGTATTGTTGGTGACCAGTTTGCATGTGTAAATTTATAAAGTACTAATAATGTGGTTTAGGATTCAATGGGGCAATATTCTGTTGAGTTTAAGAATCACTGGTCTAAACAGAATCACTGGTCTAAACAGAATCACTGGTCTAAACAGAATCACTGGTATAAACACTGTCCCATCATTATTTTCCAGAACCATGTGAATGAAGCTATTGAGATGTACCAAGAGATGCATATGTGGGATGATGCTATCCAAGTAGCAGATGCTAAGGTGAATATTATTTCTTATATAAATATATATTGTACTCCAGTTCCTGTCCTTGACAATTCCTTTCGGATATGTTGAACTGAGGCACATGAAACAGGGAACGGAGGTCTGTGAAAACCAGTGGGATTGATTGACCTCACTCTTTTAGATTCAAACCCAAGGCTTGAAGGGCTAAAACTTAAAGGGCTTTAAAGAAAACCTGAATGCCAATACTTCAGGGTAACTCTAATTTTCAGAGCATTCACAGACAAACGAATTTTATTAGCTGGTTTAATTTTTTTTTTTTTTTTAGAAATATGGGTATTAACATAACTGAAGAAACAATGTTCTAAAATTGTATTTATTCCTGTCTCTTTTGAGTTACCATGTTTACAGATCTTTTGAGTTATTTTATTCAAATCTCTTGTCCTCCTTACCCTCCTCTTTCTCCTTCTTCTTCTTCTTCTTCTTCTTCTTCTTCTTATCAGTAGTTCTTGGTCCATCACATCCTATTTCAGCAAAACCCTGTATGGTTGCTTTTCAAACACACTTGCTAGGAGGTAGTGAGTTTATTAATTTTGCAATAGTGTTATAGTATTGATTCTTAATTAAACATTAAACATATACAGATCTGCTGTGTTGGCAGGCTACACTAAACTTTTGAGTTGTCTTGTTGTACAAGGATTATTAATAATTAGTACAAGAAATGTATTGACTTTGTTCATTGCATGTTTTCATAGAGCCATCCTGAGCTGGAGACGCTGAAGAAGAATTACAATCAGTGGCTCATGGAGACCGGACAAGAAGAGGCAGCAGCAGAGGTAAAAAGGGGTCATATCTAGGAATGATAAACCAAACCTTTTTGTCTTACAGAATATTCTTGACAATATTATCACCATCATCTTCATTCTTTTGTACTATAATAAGGTCACAGAACTCGCAGTCTGTTCCTTTATTTTAATGCATCCTGTGCAGTCGTTTTAATATCGTCAATGGAAATCAGTCCTCAAAACCCTCAGTAAGAGAAAATCTGAAACAGATTAGAAAACCGACACATGGAAAACAGATTTTCTCAAACTCCTGAACAGAACAGACCAAATCACAGTTTTTCATTTATGCACTGGACACTGCAGACTAAATAAACACTCACATAAATTAGGTATGAGCCAGATAGCTCTCTGCCAGTGTCTTTATGCTGAACAGACTTCAGAACATGTCCTGCAAGACTGTCCTCTCCTGGAGGTTCTAAGTAGCAACATGTGGCAACACCCAGAGACCTGACAACTAAACTTTGGGGAAACCTAAGAGACCTTGAAAAGACATTCCAGTTTATGGCCCATAGTGGATTATGCGCATGACCAGAGATCGCTGAAGAAAAAGAATTCAGTTCAGCATTTTTACCTCTCTTGTCAGGATTCATTTTAGAGTTTCTCTTGGGTCGCCCTACTTATTTCCTCTGTCAGTTTGTTTCCCCTCTCAGTGCTTGTTTAGTATTCTCTGCTCACTTCTTTCAAGAATTGGCCCTATGTAGTGCCACCTTTTTTGTCTTAAACTTGTTGAGTATTCTCTGCTGACTTCTTTTCAGGATGGGCCCACTGTAGTGCCACCTTCTTCATCTTAAACTTGTTTAGTATTCTCTGCTCACTTATTTTCAGGATGGCCCACTGTGGTGCCAGTTTCTTTGTTTTAAACTTGTTCAGCATTCTCTGCTGGCATTTTACAGTGTAATGCCATCTTATTTGTCTTAAAACCGCTGACATTGGCTGCTGTCCATTTTGCATTATACTGTATAATAACAACTAATGCTTTAATTAACTCCACAGTTGAAAGAGCGAGAAGGTGATTACATGGCGGCCATTAACCTCTACATGAAGGCAGGTCTGCCAGCAAGAGCTGCCAGATTGGCTGCAAGTAGAGAGGTAATAATAGCTGATTTATATTTAAAGTAATTCACCAGAACTAACTCTTTCTGTACCAAGTAACATATTGTGTGTATGCGAGCATCTATGAATGTTTAAAGATTTTTTCTCTGAATAAACTCTGTTTATTCCACACACAGACACAGACATACTCACACACACACACATATACAACACGCACATGCATGTGCACACTCACACACAGAGTTAACCTACTTGTAATCCATTTTAAAAACTTTTATCTTCTCAATCCCTTTGGATCTGTTGCTCTAGACCAGCGGTTCTCAACCTGTGTGTCTTGACCCTTTTGTGGGTCGAACGACCCTTTCACAGGGGGCCGCCAACGACCATCGTAAAACATATATTCAGTGAAGTTATGAAGTAGCAAGGAAAATAACTGTATGTTTGGGGGTTGCGATAGTATGAGAAACTTTATTAAAGGGTCGCCACATGAGGAAGGTTGAGATACACTGCTCAAGACCATCCAGTTTATGAGGTTACTTTAACCTCCTATTTTCCAAGACGCAAAATTTTAAAATAGTAGATGTCTCTGGTTCTAGGTGCAAAGAGTTAATGATGTTCATTTACAGATCAGAACTAATGAAAACAAATGACATTAATCAAACCAACCAACAACTCTGCAAGTAACGTGACAAAACAAAAATCTGTTGCAATAAAATTGAAAGTAATAATGTAGGACAAGATGTTGATTGATAAAATAGACAGATAGGTCTACTTATGAGCAGTTCTTGGTTCCAGGCTCAACCAAATCTATTATCTACACATCACTGTATCTTCCAGGCCAGATTGGAAATACAGGCATCCACAACATGGAACTGCACCTGAAATCCTGTTAAGGATCACAAATACAATTAGAGTTTAGTTCTGAACACTATCTGAAACATACTGTATTGACTGAGGAGAGATAAAAACATCTTTGCCCTCCCCCCCATATCTCTTTCACTCCCAGTAGGTTTAGCATCAGAGGCCTAAGAGGAAATAACAGTTTTAGAAAAAGGACCCTTTTTGCAGGCCTTTCAGGCGTATTGGGTATATAGGGCTAGACCTATACTTTATAGATTGAACCACACTTGGTGGCTGATGTGGTCAGCATCACGCCGGCCGCCTTTTCTTTCCAGGACTGTACCTGGTACCCACTCAAGACTGGGTTGACCTGGAAGCCGAGGTCATTTTTGAAAAAAAAATCCAGCCCTCGTCAGGAACCGAACCCATGATCTTCCAACCTGCAGCCGAGCATCCAGTCGCTAAACCACGCTGGCTCCCAAGAGGTAGTAAAGAGATATGTAAAATCAGCACATCTTGCGTTCTTTAAGCTTCTAGGTAGGAACCTATGAACGTATCATGCCTTTCTTGGGACTAAAAGAGATATGTTTGTTCAAAATGCCCCTTCTTCTTTTTATTTTTCTCATTCTCCTCCTCTTTAATTCTTTTTCTTTTACTACTTCATTTTTATTTTCCCTTTTTCCTTGCAACTCTGTCAACTCAAATTTCATTTGTATATTCTAATACTAAAAGATCATAGTTTTGAACTGAGAAAATGAAAATTAAGTTAATTTTGCAAATGTTTTTTTTTTCTAAGGAGCTTATGACTAACTCAGATCTCATTGCAAGAATTGCTGCTGCACTCATCAAATCTGAGCTGTTTGATCGAGTGAGTTATTGACTTTTACTTCATTATGCTTGCAATACATTTGTTTTTTGTTGTTGTATAGCTCAGTATATATAGTCTTAGCTCAGTACATATAGTCTTAGCTCAGTACATATAGTCTTAGCTCAGTACATATAGTCTTAGCTCAGTACATATAGTCTTAGCTCAGTACATATAGTCCTAGCTCAGTACATATAGTCTTAGCTCAGTACATATAGTCCTAGCTCAGTACCAATAGTCTTAGCTCAGTAAATATAGTCTTGGTTCAGTACATTTAGTCTTTTCTAGCCACACTGACGAATAACATAAACTTAAGGCAGCCAGTACAGCTTTTTTTTTTTAGTCATGTAGATATCTCTCAGTCAGTGACCACTAGAGGTTGAAGTGTTTCGGTTTTAAGTAGTAAACTAACCAGCGGGATGTCCTATGAATGTGTATATTTACTCTGTTCAGACACTCTCTCATGGTCGAACTCTTCCAAGACATCGCTCAGTATACCTCGTTGGACCATGTTACTGCTTTAGTCATAGCCATGACCTCCATAGTCAGACTCCTTGTAGTTATAGCAAAAAGCAGTAAGATGGCTAGAGACAGACTTTCACTGGGGTATGCTTTCTCAGTGACTCAATGAGTATGCTCATGAAGATAGAGAAGGGCTGGGTCCGAAGGCAGTGGTTGGTGGCTCTACAGAATTCACACACATATAGGGGTACAAGGAAAAGAGCAAGCTGATAGGCTTGCAGATAAGGCTACTGATAAAGCTAGACAAGCCATGGACCAGGCTGATATACGCTGGCCTAGAGGTGTTTGATTCAAACCCACGTGATGACATTTTCAAAATTCACCTTTGGCTTCTAGATCATCCCAGCCTAAAATGGGACCAAAACAATATGGGAAATAAAGGGGGGTCAGAATTTCCCCCACAGCCAGTCCCAAACATGGATGAGAAAGCAGGAGGGTTTGGCATAGAACTTCTTCACCATGTTAAAAAAAAATATGATATATTTTCTGGTACTAGTTTTAGGCTGAACTTACCCAAAAGCCTAAGTTACATTAAAAAATCCTTCAATGGGACAGGCAATTGTACTAGCCACTGTGCCACCAGAACACCCTTTTTGTCTCATGGTAATTATCTATGTAAGCAATATTGTTTCTCGTAGACTGAATACTTGGGCCATATTAAATGCTATGATGGTTTGATGAGAATAGTATTGAAGAGTTTGGTTCTTGAAAGAAGAGGCAGGTGACGCCAGCATGATGGTGGACACAGCAATATATGATATATAACAGCAATATATGATATATAACAGCAATATGTGATATATAACAGCAATATATGATATATAACAGCATTATATGATATATAACAGCAATATATGATATATAACAGCAATATATGATATATAACAGCAATATATGATATATAACAGCAATATGTGATATATAACAGCAATATGTGATATATAACAGCAATATGTGATATATAACAGCAATATATGATATATAACAGCAATATATGATATATAACAGCATATATGATATATATGCAATATATATATATGATATATAACAGCAATATATGCAATATATGATATATAACAGCAATATATGATATATAACAGCAATATATGATATATAACAGCAATATATGATATATATAACAGCAATATATGATATATAACAGCAATATATGATATATAACAGCAATATATGATATATAACAGCAATATATGATATATAACAGCAATATATGATATATAACAGCAATATATGATATATAACAGCAATATGTGATATATAACAGCAATATGTGATATATAACAGCAATATATGATATATAACAGCAATATATGATATATAACAGCAATATATGATATATAACAGCAATATATGATATATAACAGCAATATATATAACAGCAATATATGATATATAACAGCAATATATGATATATAACAGCAATATATGATATATAACAGCAATATATGATATATAACAGCAATATATGATATATAACAGCAATATATGATATATAACAGCAATATATGATATATAACAGCAATATATGTTATATAACAGCATAACTGGACAATGATGAAAGGGAATCAGTATGATGTGACCTATGATCCATTGAATGCTGATTGGTCGATAACAAATATGGGTCTAGCACCATATGTGCCAATGGCAGGAAAATGTTTCTTTACTATTTAGTTTTTTTCAATGTGAGAAAATAATAATGTGTATAAAAATATATTCAGTATATTATATGTCCCGTGTGGGTTTAGGGGCTCCATTGTGGGGAGAACAAGAATAGACCCACTGCCTCCCCAGATGGAATGTCATAACAGTCAACTAGTGGGGGACTTCATTTTAAGTTTTAATACATCTACCCGAGCGGCAAGGAACAACCAGCTGCGCACAAATAAGCCAGTAAAACGGATGCACAGGCAAGACTCAGGCCCTGGGACATAACCAGGGTCAAAATGGACGAGCAACCAGGACTTTCCGCCGGAGCTTGCAGCCGGTGAAGAAAGAAGGAGAAGAAGACAAAACAGTATTTTTACCAACATTGTGTTGCCAGCGCCAAATGTGGACATTAAACAACGAAAGGAAAAAGAAAACTTGAAACAACAGAAATGACATTTATATGAGGAATCCTAAATGAAATGAGAAGAGACAGAATCCAAAATGATGACATGAGGAAAGAAGTTGGGATGGAACCGTACTAATCTACATCAAGAAGACAACAGATCAAATCATTCGGACGTATGTTAAGACTACCACCAAATAGTGCACCACAGAGAGCCCTGTCTCTTTTACATAATAGAAGCAGAGCCAGAGGTCGACAGTACAAGTGATGGATAGATGGAATATCTTAAACTGTAACCAGCACGTACCAAGGCTTGCACCCAAAATCTCTTAAAAATCAGATGCCAAAAGGCAGAACAGGACTAGAGAAGAATGTTGAGTTGAGTTGATTCAAGAACCGACATCACAGCACTCGAAACATTCTCATAAGCGCTCCGTCTCCATCTTCAGCAGCCAGTGAAGAGTTCCGATACTAATGGTGCCAGTAGCATTCTGATTAAACGTCCGTCTTGCCTTTCCTCTGAGCCTCCAGCATCTGCCAGAACCTCTCGTCACCCCCAACTGCATCAATCTCACCAGACTGTGGTGATCCATCTGCTCCTCTGAAATGTACATGCTCTCCCACAAGGCACTAACCACATCTGCCTTATCATGTATCAGTATTCCACCAAGTTGTGACTAGAGAAGAAGAAGTGTGAGAGTTCATATTGATTTGTAAACTTTGATTAACAGTATACTTTAA